AATACGCTCCGTCATTAATTTTCCCCTTCGTTTCATTAAAAAGTATTTTAGATTTACGCACATTTTTACAAATTTCACTTTGTTGAGGAATACTTAGTACCGATACTACACTCATTATTTTCATAATTAATTTCGCTGTCTTTGAATTGTAGCATGACAAACTCCGCTCTAACCGTTTGTCTTTTTGGCAACGTCACACAACACTAAGCGTTTCCGTCCGCTCTCCCATCTTTAGATCTTCTTGTCATCTGCTGAGCATTCAATGACCCATCGTCTACCCAAATATTAAAATCGCTTAAATCATTTGAATAAGTCTCTCTCTCTCTCTCTCTCTCTCTTACATTATTTCCTATTTGAGGTAACTATCTCTACTGGCGTTTTCCCCATTTGAATGTTGTGCCTTTACTTTTCCATTCGACATTTCCTTTGTTAAATGCATCAGAGTATAATGACAATGATTATGAAAAAAAATAGCGATATCAATGATATCATTTAAGACTAGAAAAGGATATGAATTTTGTCTTTTGAAATAGAAGGCGATGAGCCGCTTTTAAAACTGTTTTTAATGGTTTGTATTTTTATTCTAAAAAAAATTAATTCCTGACGTTTGGTTGTGACGCGGCAACAGTCGCTATGTTCTATGTTATAAACATTTATAGGATAAATTCAGTTGGACATTATTAAATGAAAAAAAAATCATTTTTTATTATATTTATTGAAGTACATCTTTTAATATATTGTATTTGAAAATGTGACGCCAAATATAAAAGATATGGACGCTGTGACATTACTTTTGGATCAACCCTCATAGAAAGTTCTCATAAAATTTGTCGTTAGACCCTAACTGAGTCAATGTTGCTTATTTTTGTTTCTTCTAATTGTACAGCAACTTTCTAATTGTTCGATAAAAGTTATGATAATGATGTTAAAAATGTTACCTTTTGTTTCGGTTTTTCCACATAACAAAACCTTGGTCCTCCACTAAATTTGACTCCGCCTCACCACGTGATTTATAAGACAATTCACAGAATAAATAAACTCGGTTGAAATTAAATGATTTACAATCTGAGTAAGAATTACATTCCGTAGAACAACCTCGGAATCCAATGGGACTGAGTGACGTAATGACATGTCCGGTCAGTCGGGAATTCTGGGTTTCTCCAGAGGAAAGAGCAAGGGAAAATAGAAACACAAACCATACAAGCATCCCGTAACTTTTCATTTTGAAAGTGAATATAGTAAGAAAAAATTGTAAGTGTTTATAGCTTTTAACTCAGACTTGTTAATGAATAATTTCATATCGATTTATTTGATCGTTAAATTTTGTTATCTTATATTCGATTCAAAACAAAAGATCTCACGGTCTAAAACATTGAATTATAAATGTTTATCGATTTGAATAAATTACATATAGCAAACATTTTTCAACGGTATAAACTCCAAAAGTAAATGTTTTGAAATATTATTTTGAAAATTCAATATAAAACCATTCACCCCCTGTCTTTAATAAATCAATAGTGTAATAATAATGATATATATTGCAAGATCAGTATGTATTCGTGCTTAGAATCCAAAAAATACTATACTCTTATTAATGATAAATAACGTGGTCAAAGCTTATTTGAACGCACTTTGAGCTAATTACGCATTTTGTTTTTTAAGTGCCTTTATATTGGAACAAAACAGTCTAATTTTTTTCACGGAGAGTTTATCAACGTTTGCCTGCTTGTTGTTAGACGTCCCTCTCGAGAATTATGGAGAGGCCACCACTTATCGGTGAAAGGCTGCAAATTTTTACCCATGCTCGGCAATCAGGGTCATTGAGCCGAGAGGGATCTGTTTCGATCTTACACCCACTACGTATACATTACGGGACCTCGGTTTATAAGGTCTCATCCGAAGGACTGGTTTCCATGTACCGCAGAGGATTCTAACCCGTGACGTAAGAATCGACTCTTCACTCCGCGACTCTACAGCACAGCATATACTCAAAACACTGCGTCACGAAGGCGAAAACAACAGTCTGAACCAAGACATTAAACGCACTTTTAAAATATGATTAATTTTAAGAAAGGTAGCAGGCAATAACTTTTTTCTTTTTTTTCATGGCTTCTCAAGATCCCTCCACATTTTGTTCTTTTTTTAACCGCATAATACGAAAATATTTTAACGTTTCCTAGAAAAGTCATTATTCTCTGAATAATCGAAAATCAATCAGTCTTATCTTTTTGTTTAACAATTATTAATAATTCATTTTCATTGTTCAGGTGTATATATCAAATGTCAACATTCAAGTTCAAAGTTCTCTTTACAGGCTATTATCTTCATTCCTAAGTTACTGTAGATTCCTTGTTTTTCGCGAGTACTTTTTATCGCGAATTGGCTATTCAAGTTCAAAGCGCGAGGAGAATTATTCGCGAATGGACGTTTGAAAGAGCTTTTACATAGAATTCACAACCTTAAAAATAAAAGCGAGTATTTTTATTTCGTGATTGGTGCATCTCGCGAAATTACGCGATAATTTTTTTCCACGCGTATATTTAGGAATCTACAGTACATTTAAATTTAAAAAAATCAAATTCATGTTCAACAAAAATAATAACATTGCAGATCTTACAAAACGTAAATGCAAAACAATAAATTTAAAGGTGTCATTTAAATTTTTTTCAATATATTCTGATTTAAAAGTTCAAAATTAATATATATATATATATATATATATTTAAAAAGAACCACTGTTTAGTTTGTTTGGGTATGCCAGAGATATCAACGACAACTGGAATCAATGGATAATTAATGCATAACGAACGAATTATCCCACATTTTGTTTCACCAACGATAATTCTTCAAACTTCATCTGTAAAGTTAATCATATTACATAGGGAAAATTAGTAAATATCAAAAAATATGCATGGAATTCAAATTAGAACACTCCAATTTTGATCAACAAACATATTTTAGAAATAAAAATCATAGGTATCAGGCTTTTGAAGAACTTTTTGCACAATTTTTAGACATATGTGTATAACGTGCTTTAGTTTCTTCTGTTTACTTCGATCAATGAACAAGCCATAGGGTATAAAGATTGCAAAACACTCACTTCTAGTTTCAAATCATGTTAAGAAACATTGGTATCTATAGTAATAGATATTAAAAGAAGTTCAATGTCTTTAAATTTGTAGTTTTAAGATATTTTAATGGTGTAAAAATTTCGACTTTTTATAAGATATATTCTGAAAACTTCAAAGAACATTGAAGCACATTCATGGGTGTAAAAAAGTGTTGCATAATGACTTAATTTTCAAACTTCATTTTAAGAAGTTATCTTTCATGGCAGAGAATTGGAATACCTTAATTAATAACCATCCAAATAACCCAAATTATCCAAGTGCCGTTCAAAAACTGCATGGACTCTGCTATTATTTACACTTATGGAGTCAAATAATAAGGACATTTCAAAGAAGGTTTTTCTTAAGCAATAAAATAAATTTAAGGTAAATATTTTGATTTGTATTCATTTCTTTTTAAGTTATTGCTCTTTTGATATCGCTGATGTTGATGTACGGAGTACGACAATCTTTTTAAAAAAAAAAATTCAGGTGGATACATGTAAAACTTTTCAAAATGGTACTTAAAGATCCTCTACAGCACCTGATCCAAACATAAATGATACCGAGTTGTTATTTTTTATACTTTATTTACTATAATACAAGTATACTCTGTAAAATATAAAAATTATAGAGTTATAGCAGGAATGATTTCAGAACGATCAGTCCCTAAACCAAGACAGGTGACTGACAAATTATATCACGATATTATAAACAATATCGTTGAAAGTCTCTGAGCATAAGATCAGCTCGAATTCTATGTTAGACATTGCCTTGGTCGTTCTTTACTGAAAAATTTTATCCTGATTGTGAAGACTAGCCTGTTTATTCAAGCAATAGAGATGGCTCATCAGATGGTATTTTCAGAATATTCTCATGTGTTTGATTAGAAAGCTGTGTTATTTGGTGAGATATGGAACATTTTTTTTCTTGGCGGTATAGGGCTGCTTAATTATCCTTGTTATATAAATTTCATTCCACAATATGTCTTATCGATTTTAAAAGTATTTACTAGTTCCTCTAGAAGGTGTTCCTGTATCTTGTTTTAAAGTTTGCTGAAACCATTCTTTTGTCTTATCTTCCTCGGTATAGCCCCTTTGCCTTTCACCATTTGACGCATAGGATGTTTGATATCCTCTAAAAGGTGTTCCCATATTCTGTGACGGATGTCGCTGAAACCCCTTTTCTCTCTTACTCTCTTCTGTGTATACCTTTTGTCGTTCACTAACTGATGCATTGAACGTTTGATATCCTCTAGAAGATGACGTCATATCCTCGTTATGAATGTTGCTGATACCAACCTCATAATTACCAGTCATTCCAAATGGTGCATTTCTTTCCCAATAAGGTTGTGTATCTTTTTCTAGGTAATGATTAGCCTCTGTTTTGTCTCCCTGCGTTTCAGTAGAGTGTCGTGCATTTGCCTGATAGCTTCTTGAACAAGTATATATATCGGGATCACTGTTTAAATATGTCACATTGTTCTTGCAAGGCGAAATTTGATTTCCCACTGAGTCTGAAACATTCGCTGGAATGCTGTCTGCCTCATATTCTGTGATTTCTTCAGATTTTTTTGCTGCTAGGTCTGTTCCCAAGCTGCTAGAACAAATATTCATTTCATTGTTGTCACTCTTACTGTTTTCACATTTTATTTCGCAAATTTCTCTTTGTTGTGATATCTCAGCATCTCCTTTTCCGTTTAAATTTTGCGCTGTTTTGTTACACATCCACTCGACATTATTTTCGGATTCGCTTCCGGAATTCTAGCATTCTTTGGAATTTATCATTTTTTCTGACTCCTCGTGATAAGTTTTGCTTGGGATTTCGTTTGACTTGGATCTTTCTATCTTATATAATAATGATTGCATCCCTTTTAAAGATTTTCTAGTTGGCTTAATTCCATTGAAGGTAAAATGCCTTTTCAACATCCTGACAAATCTCGTCTGTAGAATATGTGTAACCTGCAACCACATCAGATGGTAACTCCAGGATCGTCTGAAGTGTTTGATGAGATAGCTGTGTTATTTGATGAGACACAAGGAAGCGTTGTTTTTGTGAGCTTCCCTCCATAACAGCAGATAAGATTTTGAAAGACTCTTTTGCACTCTTCTTAAACCCGTCAACTGCTTTTTCCTATTAGAAAAATTAAAAGATAAAACATCTTTATGTTTATGAATGAAAATGTGATAATAACTTCTCAAATTGTTTTTCCTAAGAGTCCAAATGAAGGATATGAAGATAAGGAGCAGTATTCAAGCGCAAAGTCCATAAAACAATACAAAACAGGAGCAGAGCACACACAGACCTCCAGAACATCAGAGGTAAGATTAGGAGCCACGGAAGAGTGAGCATCCCCCTGTCAACCGGTCGCACCCACCGTGTGCTCCTTAAAAAAATAAAATCCTTTTAAACAAAGATACACAGCGGTTTCCAGTAAATGTTCCAAAAAATCTCTTTCTTTACTTCTCACAAAGATATTTACATTAGTGATGGAGAAACCTGAAGAGTACTTTTCAACCATATATTCTAGAAGAGGTGTAAATCAGACGTGGATATTAAAAATTTTAAAGGAACTTTATGAACACTTGAAAGCACAACTTTTATCAAAATCAAGAACATAAACGATGACGACTTTTCAACTTTATACACATCCATTCCAGACAGTGAATTGAAGTCCAGGCCTCTGATTTTATTGACAGTTGCTTTTTCAATCAAAGTACTGAAAGTGCTGGGAAGCGCTAAGCATATTGCAATTTGAAATCATCAGATTTTATTTAATATAAAATTGCCTGTTGTATTGGAATTGAAGCAGTTGAGAGTGCGGCTGCACTAGGGCGAGCACAGTTGTTTGATACATAATCAAACATGTGAATCTACCCGTTGGGATATGAGTTCAACATTGTCTTATGCCTTTTTATTTTAAGCATTTTAAATTTTCGTCCGCTGTCAAAAGATCAATCAATTTTATATACAAAAAATCGCAGAAAAATATTTCTCCTTTTTCTATAATAAAAAAAAAAATAAAAAAACAAAAACAATATGTACACATTTTTATGACAGATATCTAGTCCAAACAGCCATATATTTCTCCAACCTAATATAAAAAGGAAAAAAAACTTTAAAATATTTTCTTTATCCATCGCCTTATAGGAGTCTAAGAGATGTATATTTGAGTATAATTTGCAATTTATTGGAGGGGGATAGTCGATGAGTTTTCCGACCTTTAGACTTTAAATGTAGCTATACATTTGCTTCAAAATGTACATGACTGTATATTTCTAAATAATTTTGAACATTTGAAAATTTCGCTCAATTTCCTCTCATTTATGTGCAACATCGACAGCTAAAATGTTCTGGTGATATTTTTTAAACAACAAATTTATTCCGTTTTTACACTGTTCGAGTACGAGAGTTACAATTAAATTGAAGTTTGGCTGTTTATGACTGCTTTAAATTTAGAAACTGCACTTGCAAAACAAAGATGTTATTTGTTTATTGCGTCGATGAAAAAATTCTTATTGACAACATAATTATTTATAAGAATTGTGAATAAAACATCTCAAAAATATTCTCACTAAAATGTTTTTTTTTTTACACATTCAGAAGCGGTTCATAAATTTACGATTTTATAGAAAAGATTTTACAAAAAATACATTAATGGAGTGTGTGAGATATTTATACAATCGCTTCGAGCGTCCATGCACTATTTATAATTGATAACTAAAAGTTAGACTACATGTAACATTTTGTTTTAAATATGCTACAGCTGTGAATCATACATTTTTAACACTTAACATTCAGTACCGACACGATTTAAAATCAACTGTACAACAACAGTGTATATACAGAAAGGCATGACAAGAACCGCCCTTATCTAATAACAGTACAATGTACATGATATTTTTACCTACTTATTGACTCCTATTATTAGAACTGCGCGTAACTCAGTATTACATTATAATAGCCAAAAGATAGTTTGGAATGTCCAATTGCATATTTTTAGAAAAACCATTGGAGTTATCTAATTTGCTTATATAGTGCTGAATAGCAAATGGAAGTAGATTTACGGCGAAAGAATGCGCTTAGCGCCTAATTAAAATGGGCCTCGTAAATTTACTTACCTTGAATTTGCAAAATTACTTTCAATTGTTCAAAAATATTCTGATTACACATAAAAGTACGTGGTACTAAAAAAGTTTTTGTTTGACTATATCCACGTGGCTTATAAAGACCAGGTCTCCCAACAATGGAAAACCCAGGGGTACCAATTACGACTCGTTATTAGCAGACCTTTTTTTGTATTCATATGAAGCAGACTTTGTTCAAAATGTTTTACCAGAAAAGAAGAAAACACTTGTTGTGGCCTTTGACTCGACATTAAGATGTATATCGACGACGAATTTAAATTAATAATTAAGTCTAATGCTGACAGCCGTTTTTTTCATAACAATGCTTAGGCCATTATTTACACACTGAGTTGTCCACGGATTTCCTGTGTTATTTCCAGATCATGTTACATGCGTATCTCTAAATTTATGTGATAATTATATTCACCCTTATCTAAATTATTTCGTTAGATTTTATAAGTGTGGAACCTTAATACGTTTATTCTTTGTATATTAAGTAAGGGGAACTGTCAAATGCTTACCATATTGGTGGAATTTTAGCGAGATGCAAATTTAGCTATTTTTCATAATTTTTTTTTATTTTTAGCGAGAAGTAATTTTAGCTATTCAAAAAATGCTCACAAAAGAAGCTATTACAAGTAAAACGCAATTAGTTATTAGCGATATTCGCTGATATTGCGAAAAGTAAATCCACGCTAAAAATTCTGCTTTTCAGTAATTATCAACTTCTGTGCTACATTCTAATGGCATAATGTATAACACAAGGTATTTTTTTTAGGTTGAATGTTGCATTTTACGCTACAGGTAGGTGTACTTTATGATCGGTTAGAATTTGTTTTGTAATGGTCAATGCACACACCTATTTAGGTTTCAAATTCAGATTATACGAGCATAAGATTACCTTGGCTTGTGTATAAAAAGAATATTTATCATGAAATACGACAACAGCAAGCCCCAGCCTATTATTATTTTGTGCAAGAGTATTTAATAGAATAAAGATGAGACCTTCAGATATAACAAAATGTCATCGTGAATCCTTGTACATGTACCTAAAGGTTATGAAAAAATTGTCTTACTATTTTTTCTAAATCATTCATTTTCTCTTGTGCCTCCTTTTTATGGGAACGGACAAATTCATCCAGTTTCCTGGCGAGGAGATTTTTCGTCTTTTCCACCTCTTGTGTTACTTTCTCTACAGTTGCTTCACTCTCTTGCTTAAGATTCTGTTTCAACTTTTGAAATTCCTTTTCCATTTCATTTGTGTCTTGAATAAGTTCACGAAGCTGCTCTAACAGCATATCATCTTCCTTGGAATTCCGCGTTTCCGAAATGTCTTCTAATGATTTGACATCAACACAAGAACGATGCTTGGTTGCAAAACAAACACTGCAACAAAGTTTGGTGTGATCAACGCAGAAAACTTCTACTGTTTTACCACTGTATTGATCACAATAGTATTCAATTTCAGGGAAAATGTCTTGATTTCTAAACTCTTCAAGTGTGATAATTCTGTGATTCTTTATTGCATTAAACATAAGATGGACATTTTTGCAATCAGCACAGACAGGATGCGCACAACTGACGCACCAAAACGATGACTTACTTGTTCTGTTTTGACGCCAACACGCTCCACAGTTTTCACTGTGGTCGCCAGATTTCTCCATCAAAGTTAAAAGTAAATAGTTATCAGGAAAATTCTTTGTCCAGTCTTTCATAGGTAAATCTTGATTTGGAGGATTTACTCTTTTCCGACATATCGGACACGCAAAATCAATTTTGGAGGCGTTGATTGTTGATTCCATCGAGGTTTCGATGTACGCATTCAAACAAACCTCACAAAAAGTGTGCAAGCATGGAAGGTATTTTGGTGTTTTCATCTGTTCCAAACAAATTGGACAATCAAACACATTTCCAGCAATTGATACTTCCTTTTCACTAGCCATGTTAATCTGCTGTTTTCGTAGACGTGCGTACAGCCACCCGGAAATATAATACCTGGTGTATTCACTAAGTTATCTCTAGAAATTACGGGTGTCGTGCCGTTTCTCTCTAAATCCCTTTCAAACCGAGGTTTATTCACCGCAGTGTACTTTAACGGTGATTTGTTTCTCTCCACTAGCTACCTAAGCCATTTGCACCATGTTTATAGTAGCATTAATCATACTCATATACACATTAAATTGGAGAGTGATACAAGTATATTGTTTTAGTTGGGGATTACAGCAGTTTGTTTTTTTTGGGGGGGGGGGGGGGTCCTAGTTCATTGTATATACCTTTTTGTATGGAGGCGTTGTAATTGTTTTCAATATTATCCATTAATTCATTTTAATTAAAATGCACGACCATATCATTTGTGTAACGAATTAGCAATTCATAGTTGTTAGTATGTGTGTTTTTGCTTTGACATTATAACTGATAGTGGTTCAGTTGAGAATTTGATCGCAAATATACCGCATAAATTAGTATTTCACGTAAAGTCACCAACATAGTAAATTGAAAATAAAAGCTTGTTTAATTTATCAATGGCACTTTTAAATACTGGTCGCGGGGAAAATTGTCGGTCAGATTGACTGATTGATTGATTGTATATTGTTTAACGTCCCTCTCGAGATTTTTTCACTCATATGGAGACGTCATCGTTACAGGTGTAACGTTGAATGTTGACCCCCGTTGAAAATTGACCCGGGGTCATTTTTCAACGTTGAATATTGAACCAGGGGTGTTTTTTCTCCGTTAAAAATTGAGACCAAAAGTCATTGAATTCATACCCGGGGTCATTTTTCAACAGCTTGATATTTTTTTCTTATCCCCCATGACCTCAACAAGTTGAAAATAGACTCTGTTGAATATTGACCCCATCTCAGAGTTTGAACATTGTTTTTAACTGGGAAGTTGTTTTACGGGATTTATAAGTATCTCTATATTTATATTTCGGTTTCAATTTTTCCCCTTTTCAAGAATAATAGAAATAAACCTATCATAAGGTATATATATATACATTTTAATCAGTACACTATTTCAGTTATCTTCAAGCATGACAACATTATTTTTGGACAATACTTTCTTAAATCCACATCCATAAATAACTACAAAACTATGAAAAGAGCATAAAACAAAAAATCCTGGAAATCTAGCTGGTGTCTAGAAAGAGAGCCCTACATTATACAATTATAGCCTTTTGATGAGGTCAATCCCTCGATATATAGACCGTAGAGAAAGCATATCGACCGAGCACGAAGTGCGAGGTCGATATGCTTTCTCTAAGGTCTATATATCGAGGGATTGTACCGAATCAAAAGGCTACAATTGTTTTATTATTTTTTATCAGTTAATAAGAAATGTCTTAAAATCCTTCTTTATAATACTCAGCACCTTCTTATACAAGGCATTGTTATGTCATTGCATTATGACGTCACAGTAATGAAAACCAGCTGCAGTATCTGTTTTTAGAAACATCCAGTCTATAAAGACTATTGTGACGTCAGAACCATTGTTGCTTCACAGAAGAATGTTTCCAATTTTAGGAACAACAGGTTTATAAATTTTTAAAATAGAAACATCTAGTCTGTAACACTTTTTATACTTGATCATGTGATCCAGTTTGAGCCAATCAGACAGTTGGAACAATAAAGAAAAATAATAAAAAAAAATAATATTGATCAGGTGGGCAGAACATGTCCCATCTAGTTAAATTAATTTAGTATAAAAATTAACAAAATTAAAAGCCTTAAAATTAGAAATGATCGAATCCAATGATAGGTTATATTTGTGAAAAGATCAATATAGTGACCATAACATGTAAATAATGCTGACTTTAAACAAGGTTGGTGAAATCCCTGTAACAAACTTATCTGTCAGTAGCCTGCCTCGGCCTAAAAATCGATCGTTTTCGGAGTATAACCTTGAGAATGAGAACCAGAGTTACAGTCTGGGATGGACTTTTTGATCTAAACAACTAAAAAGCGCATTCCCCTTCAAAGAAAAGCGAGAGAGAGAAAGAGAGAGAGAGAGAGGATCCTAAAGATTTTCTGGGAGGTGGGGGTATGGTTTCAAAACCCTCTGAAATATTGTGACAAAAAACCATAAACAGAATTAACAAACGAAACGCAATAAACAAACAAGCAAACAAAATGTGGAAAGGGAAGCTTGCCATTGTTGAAAAACAAACCATGTTTCTCTAATTGGATGGAAGGGCCGCTTAAAAAATTCCTCACAATCTATCCTGTGTTTCCCCGATTGGAGGGGGGGTGTATCTAAGGCAAACATTTTTTTATTTAAAAAAACTACAAAAATGAAGAAAATAGCCCGTCACAAATACAATGTGTTAATGTTGTGTATAACTAAATAAGCATTAAAACGTACTTGCATCATGCGTTAAACTCTCACCATTTTCCAAATACTAATATTAGGGATTTTAAAATAAAAAAAAGATAAAGTATTGTTAACAAAAAAAATTAAATAATCAAATTTATGAACTAAATTGTATATTGTGTAACTATGTGTCTTCCCACAAATTTTTATTAAAATAGAAAATTTGGTGTTATGGCTAAATAGTCATAACACCAAATTTTCTATTCTAATAATAATTTGTGGGAAGACATATGTTTACTAATAGGCTAAATATTCATAACACCAAATTTTCTATTTTAATAAAAATTTGTGGGAAGATATTCAGGATTTACATATACAAATATACTTAAATAAATATTACACGAAATATTGCGATCTTAAGCTTCACGTAACTTTGAAATCTAAGATATATTTTTAATATTTCATTCTAAGAATTTAACTGAATTACTGAATTAAGTGTGCGTGTGCATTAATTACATTGGCAAATTGAAAGTGCAGGGGGGGGGGGGGGCTAATTGAAAAAGAAAAAAAAATCAAATCTGAAAAAATTGACAAGACAAAAAACTGTCCATTGTCCAAACTAGTTGGGTACTTTCTCAAAGTACTACCACTTACTCTTCTTTCTTTGACTACACTGTAACGTGCCTGTTGAAAGCGGGGTGGGAGGGGGGAGGGCGCTTATCCAACTTCATATTGTTCAATGCTTATATCATGTCTATCTGTGGAAAAAAAGGGGTAAGTATCTCTAACCCCCCCCCCCGTTCCCGATGCCTATGGATTAAATCAGAGTTGTGAAAACCAAGTCATAAATATGTGTTTTTATGCTGTTGAATTTTGAACCGGTTTCATGATCAAAATTCAACGACCTGGCTCAGTTTTCAACGGACTAGGGTCTAAATTCAACACCTTTGGTCTCACTTTTCAACGTTGAAAAATGACCGTCGGGTCAATTTTCAACCCGGGTCAAAATTCAACGTTACACCGGTGATGGGCTTCAAATTTAGACCTATACTCGGCACTCAGGCCCATTGAGCAGTGTGGGTTCTTTATCGTGCCAGCGCCTACCATGGCACGGGACCTACGATTTTAAGGTCATATCCGAAAGACCCGTGACTTTCACTTTTGATGCTGAACGCTTGGCGAAGGAATAGCAGTACCTATTTGTACGTCTTAGGTTTCACGCGTCGCCACGAACGAGAATCGAACCCGGGCCTCCCGATCACGAAGCAAAAGCTCTACCAGTAGGCTACCTTGAACGGTTTGTCGGTCAGAGAATTATATTAAAATCTGTAAAATACTTTTTTGTGTGGAAAATTTCATTTTACAGCAGTTACTTTCACCCTTTTCATCTGCATAAAGAAAACAAAATTTAAAGACTTAAAAACTTATGTAAAAAGATATACATACTGATATAAGACGACTGATAAAATCTGCCTACAATGCTGGAATATCATATTCAATGTAATTATACGAGGGCTGTTCAATAAATAATGTCCTCGATGCTCAGAAAGAAGCAAACGACGTTTTTCAATGATTTAGTCTTCATGATTTTACTTATTAATCTCTTTTAATTCAAACACATGTCTGTATCATTTTTTATCCAATTTCTGATTGTTTTTAGAACTCATTTTAGGGTATGACCCTTATTATACTGGAAAATGGCAGATCCAGTGATTTCCTGGACTTGTTTTTTCCTTCTGAAAGGTATTTTTTTCAAGTTTGGAAATAAAAACAAGTCAAAAGGTCAAAGATCTGGCAAATATTGTTAATGTGAAAAAAACAGTAAGTTTCTGTTTATCCCGAAAACCCTTTTACTCTTCAGGGCATGTGGGTTTGGACGCCGTCATGAAGAAATTTAATATAGTGGATTCCTGATTTTAGGTCCTTCCTTTGATAAACCTTTCGATTTTTTTGCAAAAAAATTGCTTTCTAGACTCCTTCAGATATTAAACTGTCTCCCCGAATACGAATTTGAACAACAATACCACTAGTATTTAAGAAAATTGCATATAAATCTGTCTTTGTGCTCTTGCAATTCTTTGCTTTTGTCAAACCTTCGCCGTTTTTATCAAGTACATCTTATGGTTAATTTTGTTTTGATGATTTTTAGCAATAGATCCATGTTCCAATATCTGTTTGAATATCAAACAGGCGTTGGATAACTACAATTACTGATATTTTAAAATAATTGTTAAGACTTTCCTACACGCTGTCGTTTTCACTCATTTTTCAAAATATAGGGTGACCTTTGAGTACCAAGCTTTTTTACTGTCAAACGTTTTTTAAAATAGTGTAAATTACTCCCGATATGATGTCTATCAAATTTGCTATGTGTCTTAAAGTCAATCATACATAAGCAAACATTATTTGTTGAAATTTGGCAAACAGTACATAAGTTGTTATAATTTTTGTTGGCAAGGAGGGTACCCATTTTTGATACCCATTATATAATTTTTTTATCATTGAAATCCACCTGCTCATTTGTCTATAGAACAGGTATCGGTTGCTGTAAATGACACATATTTCAGTGAATATTTCTTTGGGATTTTTAACCAATTTTACAGCAGCTTTAATGTAGCCTTTATTTTCACTCTAGTTTACTGATTGTTTACCATTCATTTATAATGCAGTGTCTCGAAAAGCCCTTGTTTCCCAGCTTCTCACGATGAAACTTTGTGATGAAAAGTGGTCACATAAACTGTTATAAATTCAGTAAAGATTCAATAATGAGAGAAAGTCAAGTTTAATGTCACATGATATCTGTTTTGTATGTAATACAGTTCAGGACATTATTTATTGAACAGCCCTCGTAGTTTATTACACGGATCCATTATAGCTATTTTTTGATTCACGGTCCCATTAAGCGTAGCTGTGTTGTTTCGCTTTGTGTTCGAAAATCCTGGAGTTCATATTCTTTTCAGCAACAAACAGAATTAAATTTGTATAATAATTCGTCTCTAAACGAGTGGAAAATTCTCGAAGTGGACACCCCAATAAAACAAAATTCAGATTGGATTGTGGTATTACACATTATACATGTCTACCGGTATATTATATATTTCGTATTTTCAACTACAAATGTACACGTTATTTCCTTATCATATTATACTGGCATGTGATTTTGTACTGAAATAATTGTGTCCGCTATTCTCTACTACTCATTATGTAACATGTGCATGTTATGAAATGGAGTGTAGATCATTTATTCCATTTTTGTTTGAGTATGAACTTAAAGAGTTTCCCATCAAATGTCAACAGATAAATCAAGTCGTTTAAGAAGAATACTGCAGTTAGAGTAATATTCCACATCACTTAGATAATTTTTTTCGTAAACGATACGGTATATACCGGTGAGCTTGAAATAAAAGATATCATAGAATCTGACACATTTGTTTTATATTTGGATCCTTTACTAGAAAAAGACGTTAATGGTAATCTTTAAACAAAGCTTTATGAAAAACTTGATGGCTTTTCAATCGTCAACCTCCCTTACTTATGTAGCAATATGCCTTCTTCACCTGCATACTGAGTTTATATCTTTCAGTTGATTCGATGCCAAAGAGCATGTTCTATGAATGAACAATTGCTAAAGCTTGGTAAGTTATTGACAAACAAGCCGATGAAGTAAGAATATCAGTAGTCTTGTTTAAATTCGGTGTTTTGTAAGTTCTATGGATTACAATGACCTTGTCAGCAATACCTAATATCATGAAGTCAAATGCTTACTGACGATTTTCATACTTATTGTAAAGCCAATATTTACACAATGTCTTGTCGACATATTCTGCTGTTTTACCGTTGATGACTTGGAACACACGTCGGGTGTGATCGGATGCTCACTCCTCGATGGCACCCGATTCTACTTATGATGTTTAAGAGCTCCTCGTTTGCTCTCCTCCAGATTTGTAATGTTTGAATGGTCTTTTAAACTGAAATACTGCTCGTTTTCTCCATATGATACAAAATAATCCAATATATTCATTAGAAAAAAATAAAATAAGGTTTCAATACAAATCTGGTCCCGATATTTTTTTTTAAATTTGAAAGCAATGTTAACAAATAAAACTCATGGTATCTCAATCATCGAAATTACACACAATAAGAATACATAAAAAGTTTTGTTTTATGACCCCCCCCCCTCCCGGTTGTTAATTGTGACATATTTCCCGTACTTTTTTAAGTAGCAAAAGATATTTTTTCCAGAAATTCCAGAGATGGGATCAAGTGCCCAGGAGAAATCAACCCCTGTTAATCGGTCTCTTTCACCGTGAGCCCCATGTATAGAACATGTAAACAGAACAGTCCGTATTCAAATTTAGTATAAAAATTAGTATGAACCACGTCAGCAAACATTTGACCCAATGAAAGCTTAAATATAATTTAATTTGCGTCTAAAGGCCATTATAAGAATAATTAATTTTGATAAAGATTGACTTTTAACGAGGTTGTTGAACACCTTTTTACATCACCTTATATGTCAGTAGACTGGCTTGGATTTTTAAAATTGATCGTATTCATAGCATTATCTTGAGTTTCGAATACGTTGGGATAGGTATTTACAGTATGTAGATGATAGCTGAATTTTAACTACATAATTAAGGAAAGCTGAGAATAGGAACGCTGAAGACATCTCATTTGTCATAAAATAAAGCTATTTTTGCTATTATGGTCTATAGTCAGTAAAACACTTAGATATGAAACAGATCTGACAGATTCTGCATCGTCTTTTTTTTTATTTCTTAATTTAAGATGAGTCCAATTGACGATATCGACAACGTCTAAAATTGGATCATCTTATAATGGGCATTAACTTTTAACCTGGTATTTTGTCTTTAAAGACTCTCTATAAACATTTTTAAAAACAAATTAACCGTTCCTACAACGAATCTAATTTTCAAAAAGCTTACTTTAATATATTTTTCCCCATTATTCTCATTCAAATAAACAGAAAATTGCTCTCCGTGTGTTCGTCTTTAATGATTATATAATTTATTAATTGTGAAACATATCAAACGTTTTCTCTAGCAATGTACCATAAACTCTGAAAATTCAACGTTTAACATTTAATATACATCATATCTATAACATTGTGATCATTTTCCTCGAGGCAACCTTCTAACCATTTCATATCAAAAATGTCATCATACAGATTCATCTGACGTATGGGGATGATAATTTTGACCTGATCATCATTTTAACAGATTTCATGTTTTCACTATTTGCTCCCCAAAACAGACCTTTGTAGTTCTTCTTGTTTGTGGTTTGGTAGTCACCGTTGAGAGCTGAATGTCCACAGCTATAGTACCACCATCCACCAGTGCGATACTTAACAGCACAGCTGGCGGAGCTCTTATCATTATCACGATCCTTTGTTGTAAACGACATACCATTTAAATTTACAGAACTCACCATCGCGTCTCCTGAAAATATATACACAATATTTTGAAAACAAATATGATATATATGGAGATAACTAACAGTATTCAAGTTCAAAAGTCCATTAAACAATACAATACAATACAATTGTTGGAGCAAAGCAAATACAGACCTCTAAAACATCACAGGTGGGATTGCAGGTGCCATAGAGAATTGAGCATCCCTTGCTAGTATTATTCCACAATAATGAATCATTATATCGGTATTCTTTAGGGCTGGGTATTGGCCAGAGATTTCGTATTGCGATACATTGCGATATTTGTAACTGTACTGCGATATATTTACATTTCCAATAAATTTGCCCTATGATTCTTTACAAAATAAAATGCAGTTCATTTTCTCATGAACTACATTACATATGTACCACGAATAAGCATGAATATCTCTATTATTACGTCATAATACCGCACTTGACGTAAAAAATATAGTGCACACTGTTTTGCTTTAAAAATGACAGTTGAATGATATAAATTTATGGCAAGTCATCAGAAAAATAATGTAAATATAAGAAATGAATTTCATTTTTGAAGATTCATGACGTGTATGAACTACAACGCTTCACTAACGCGCTTCATGAAATATGCCGGCGTAAAGCGTCGTAGTTCATAACCTCATGAATCTTCAAAAATTAAATTCATTTCTTAAATATACTGCAATTTTTTCAACGAAAATAAAATGGCATTTTTTATTATATTAAGTTTAATTCATGTGCAGAATGACTATGATAAGTAACCAAAAGATATGCTCTGAAATACAACCATTAAACAGCTTCTGTCTTACTGTTTGCCCTAAGGCAGGTCCATTCTTTTACAGATCCGGTTTTCATTTTACACACAAATATAAAACTCTGATTGTTGTTTGTCTATCGAAATAAAATCTTTTTGGATGATTGAAAATAATTTAGCAAGTATATATTTGTTTATTATAGTGTTATTGTGTACACAAAGTATTTAATGTACATTATTTATGGGAATAAACACTCTGCACTCTGTCCATAGGATCTATATGTCATTTAGTACATACATAGACAGAGAATTCTTCATTGCCTTTTAATATATGGACCTTATGCTTTTTAAAAATTTTGTAAACAAACTAACTTGAGATCTAATTTTTAGTTTTAAGCCTATATCATCTTTTTAAATTTTACTTGTTTATAAATTTTGCGAAGAATAATTGAAAGATAGATATTTCAAAAATGGGGGTATACATATACAAGTTCAAAAGGCTATTTTGTTAAATTTATCTGCTCAACCGAAATAATGTATGTGTTTTTGTTAACCTAAGATATAATTCAAAATAGTTTTAAAGAAAAAATGGCATATAAACATATTAGATTTTGAGAAATATTAAAAATAAAGATATTTTAAGGTTTTTTCTGAAAGATGTGGAAAGAATCAACAACAATTTGATAGTGTTTTCCAATAAAAATTTCAAATATTCTCTTGGCAAATGAATATTTCTGATTTTGATAAGTTTTAACTTAAATTTAATGGGATTTGGTACATAGCTAAATAAAATATGATTTCACACTTCTTTATGCTGAATTTTGGCTGTTGAATTTTTAGGTATGTACTCTGAGACACGTTGCATGAAAATTAACCTGCAAAGATATGTCTTTTATGGGTGTTTTAGTATAATCAAGATATTCGAATAAAAAACAAACAGTTTGACAGAAAATTCTGAAAGACCATTTTTACATTAATTTTTATATTTAATGATAAAATTCCTTAGTCTAAGCATATTGCCTGTATATCGATATTACAAAAACGTATTGCAATGCGATATTTTTAATCAGTGTATTGCAAAATACCGAAATATCGATATTTTTATTTCCCTAGCATTCTTACATCATCAATAGAATTATTCTGAATAATTCTGCAATTGATTTTAATTTCTTTACTACTCAGAAAAATGTCAAATACTCAGTATATGGAAGGGACAGAAATTCATTTAAAGTAGGGATGTCAAAATATTTATTTTCCTTAGTCGAACATTCGATTGTATTATTCGAACGATAGTCGACTATTCGGAACATTTTTTTGAGAAAAAAAATCTCATCGATAGCGTTTTTATAAATCAAAAACCCTTTTTGTAAATTTATGCAAAACGTAACATCAAATGCCTTTACTGTGTGTTACACACCGATATTCTGATGAAACTTTAGCTTGCATAAGATGTAGAAATGAAATAGATTTACACCAGCAAGTGATTCTCCAAAATGTATGAATTTTCGTAAATCACATTCAGGGTTAGGGTTAGGGTTAGGGTTAGGGTTCTATCCTTCTAGTACGCTTAGAGAATTGTCAGCACAGTGTTTTTAAAAGCTTATTTAAAATAAATTGGAAAGGGGGAGGATATTATTGCTTTGATAATTATCATAGTTTCAAAACTTCACGGCTATACTGTGATCCTATAGCATGATTTAAACATTCTTAGAGGTAATAAATAAATTTATGATTGGTACAAGTCCAGTTAATAATATTCAAAGTCCAGTAAAGCTATAATAACAAAAAAAAGGTCAGTAATTGAGAAATAATTATCGCGATATGTAATTACTGTACTTTCCATATGTACAATGTGGAAACTTATTTATATACTGTGACTGTTTTTAAGCTCTTATTCGTCTGAGGACGGATACTATAGTCATTTGAGAAAGACGCTTTACAATTTTGAGTTGAGAATTCTTTAACACCTCCTTTTTTGCATTTATTAGATATTTGAATGTCGTTTCATTATTCGATCGTCGGTCCATTCGACTGATAGTCGAATAGTCGACTATTCGTTGACATCCCTAATTTAAAGATAATCAACAACATCAAATTAAGCAAAATAAGTTTTAAGATAAATGTTACTTTTGCAGAGTTATATGACTACTTTTATCCTTATCTTTGTGAATGTGTAAATTAGAAAAAAAAATTGATTGATTTTTAACATTTTTTATGGTTATTCTTCTCTTTGACTGCGGAACAGTGGTAAGAGCGTCTGCTGTAAAATCGAGGAGTGAGGACCTGATCCGTGCGTCCTGGGTTGGAATCCACTGCGATGCTACTGTACGCGTGGACCCTGGATACCGGTCATACACAGTAGGTATTGACATTAAAAAGTTTTGTCATTGCTCATTGGCCCTGATTGAAACAGTAAAGAAACAAACAAACTCTTTGATTCTACATTGTCTTTGTATGAATTTGACTATTTTATTTTTATTTTGTTAAAAAGGACAAAACTTGAAAACCTTGAAAAGAAATAATTTCAAACAGGATGAGTTAAGAAAAAAACATACGAGACCACTATTTGAGGTTTTCTAACAGCAGGTAAGTGTAATACCTTAACTCTAATTTACTTATCTAGTAGATAATTGGTAAAATGGTTGATAAAATGACCGTATGAGTAAATACATTATGGCGTGAAATCAAATGCAGACCGACGCTTTTTAATTGAAATTGTTGAGCAATTATTACCCCATCGAATTGTTCACGATATTGTCCTTTTTTCTCTTGATCGTGACGACGAAAGCAGGGCGGCTGTGACCGGTTGGCAGTAGATGCCTACTCCTCCCTGCCACCTGATCCCACTCGTTTTAAAAGTCCGTTGTTTGCTCTGCTTCTGATTTTTATTGTTTTAATGGACTTATGGATTTTTCAGGTCATATGTTTTTCGTTATCTCCATATATTTCATGAGATCTTGGTTATTTAAGGTCTCGTCCGACCGAATCCTGACTTTAAATACTATTGCAAGACACATGGTGAATGAACAGTCACTTCATATTTTAAAGTGTCGCGCATTTGGCGCAGTGGTCAGATGGTCTGCTCAAAAGTCGCTAAGTAAGGAGTTGATCCTTACGTCGCAGGTTCGATTCCCACAGCTGGACGTGGAGACCGGTGCTTTGGAAGAGACCCAGGTCCCCTGTCGCAGTAGTTGCTGGCACGAAAAAGATCCCTTCTTGCTCAGTGGTAATGAGTGCCGAGTATAGGACAAAATTTGCAGCTCTCTGTCTCATATGAGTGAAAAAACCTCGAGAAGGAGGTTAAACAAAATACAATCAATCATATTTTAAAGTCAGTTTTGACGAAGTGTATATAAAAATAAGAATCGAACTCAGGCTCCCAAGCACAAATTAAGCACTACACCACTCTTAGACCTAACTACCGTGAATGACATAATAAATTAAAGGTCCTGCATCTTTTAATAATTCCCCCTAGAGCATGAGTTGCGTCGAATTGGCTGTTTGTATTGTTGCTGTTTTACGTCCCGTTCGGAAATTTCTCGCTCTTCTAGAGCCTTCACCATATACCAGTGAAAGGCAGTAAATTTATACCTTTACCCGACACTCAGGACCTTTTTCTTTGTGATCGATGAGGACTATTGAGAAACAAGGTCTTGGTTTTCATACATTGGCTAAGGAAAAATTGTTACATTGTAGCTGTTTTTATCGACTTAGCTCAGTCGCCGTCTTGATTCAAACACAGGACCTTCCGATCACAGAGAGAGCGTTCTACCGACTAAGCTAACATGATTGCACGACAGAATAAAGGGCAATTAAATAAAAAGGTTGTAACCTGCATTTCCGCTATATCCTGCAATAGTCAGTTGGTATTTGTCTTTCTCATTCCCGATTGAAAAGTTTGAATATCGAGCGTACACGAATGAGCCAGAGAATTTCCCCAAGTCTATCCACAATTCTTGTTCTCTTCTATCGGTAAGATCATGAATTGCGTCATTCCCTGTAAAAATGTAAACACACAGTTTATCTATGATTAATTAAGGTATCTGGAAATAAAGTTTCAATATTTTCTTCCATGATAGAGGATCAACAAATCATTATGTTTGTTCTGATTATCCGCGCCTGTTAACTCAGCGTGATACGATTCTTCGAATCCAGTTACTGTTTTAATGATGAAATAATAATTCATAACTCCACTTACAGCTTGTAAATAAATCAAAATAAAACTTTAGAAATCAGTCATTTTATATTAATACATTAAACAAAGCATAATGCTAAGGATCTTTTTGATGCGGAAATAAATAACGTCATGTAACTTCGTACTAGTTTATTAGCTTCAGAAAGTGGTGACATGGATTCCCAATGCTCACTCCTCCATGGCACCTGATCCCACCTCTGATGTTGTAGAGGTTCGCGTTTGCTCTGTTTTTATTGTTTGATGGATTTTACTATTGAATTCTGTTCGTAATCTCCATATCCTTCATTCAGAAGACCACAGTGTGGTGATACGGAAAATCGGATCAGGGCGTCGCGTGATAGAATTAAATCTACAGTAAAACAATTGGGTATTTAAAAATTGGTTTACTATGATACTTTATTTCGGAACCTTTTTTTTAAATTCGAGGCTTAAAACTCATAATCTTAAATGTCGAAGAAAAATTTGGAATAAATATGTGAATATACAAGTGATGCATCAATTTATTATCAAAAATGTTTATGTCTAAATTGGAAATATAGAATATCACAATCTGACATCCAAAGCAGAAATACTTTGATTAACTATAGTGTAAACTCGGATTTACTACAATGAAAACATTTATACTAAAGCAAACTGTAGTAATGCATAGTAAAATATGGTAAATTATAGTTAGGGTAGCCATACGAGCATTTCAATAATAAATTAAATGTTTAAGAATCTTAATGATGTTTATTATTTAAACCAACGAGATGCCTATCTTACATTAAAAATAAAAATAACTAAATTATGTGTTGTATATCTCTTAAATAATATCATTTAATTATCAGGGATATATGATCATTTGAAATAAACCCCTAACATACTTTATTGTATAGTGTTAACCAAGCATAACATTGTCAAACTTGAATATTATTTCAATAAATTTAATTTAATATCCCCTTACCTAACCAGTATTCTTTACTTGGTTCCCCAAAGCCTTCCTTGTAATCTTTCCATTCTCTGTTAAAGTCTGTTGATCCATCAATCCTTCTCTGTATCACCTGAAAGATTTGATAAGGGTTAATGATAACATTACTATAAAAGAAAGGAAGAGATGGTTATGATATTTTCCTGATTATGACATGGGACACATGGCTTAATTTGACTAGTTGACAGAAGATGCTTATTATGGACTCTTATTATGGACATTTTAGCTTGTTCATTTATCTATCTTCACTTTTAGTTTGGGTCTAGAGTATAATATTTATATTAAACCACATACTACAAGCATACTAGTCTACTATTGTGTAGTTGAACCTCAATATCTCGAAGACTAATATTCCGAAAACTATGGATATATCAAAGTGATTATGATCTCTAAGTCTCAGCCCTTTCCTTCCTAACTATTCTACTCTGAATATCTCGAATCCTCGGAAGTTTTACCCCTTCCCAGTGAGTTCGAGATAGCAAAGTTTGACTGTTAATATAATTTTATGAAAATACCGTCCATCCGCCTCCATTGGTCGTCATGTCACAGAAGACCCTCCGTGGTTTGTTACATCCGAGATAAATCGTATAGACACCGTTCTGGTTTACCAGGTCTTTGTTCTGCCTCAGCATCTCTTGACAATCTTTATATCTTTTGCCTAAGTAAATGAAGTGAATCCTTGTTATTCATGGACTTTAAACTTTTAGCTTACATTTGGAGATTGATTCATCGATAGTACAACACTCAATATCCTTAGTATTCATATTGTAAGCTTCCTCAGCACCCTGTCAAATGCTAATCAGCTTACAGTGTTTCCAGCCCGTGTAAATTCAGTCAATTAAATTTTATCAGGACTACTCATGACATCCGTCTACATGTAAAAAAAAAGGGGGGGGCATCCTCAGCCCGTCGTATGTATTTAAACACCCAAAATAATTTACTTCACATCCTTGTAAATCATAACCAAGTTCCATTTCTCGTTTCAAATATTTCATTTAATAAAGACTTCAATGAAATATAACAAAACAGTCAGTACATCTATAGATATGAGTCTAAGTCCTACAGCTTAACATCTCTGGTCTAATAAAATACAGTGGATTGCGATGTCCTGCGGTGGAGAAATTATACGCTACTTAATTTTGTATTACATGTAATTTACATTTGCCAAAGGTTAACAATACAAAATAGGAGCAGGACAAACGCAGATCTCCAAAGCATCAGAGGTGGGAATAAATAGAACCTAGCAATTAGTATGAAATATACCATTCATAATTTCACTTATTGCAGCCCGGGGGACGGGGCTGCTCTATACATATAAGTTTAAGTGTTGGTGTATGGTATGGTGGCATATTTATGCCATCCATGTAATTTTTTGTCAACATAGCATATCATGTCAAGTCAAGATAACTATCTCGTCAAGTCATGATAATTTTCTGGTTTGTCGTCAAACATCGACATTTTATCTTGTCCAGTCGAGATAAGCTATAAGCTATTTTTTGCAATAGCTATCTTGACATGACGAGATAACATTTAATCGCGATACAAAATAAATTCTCTTGTTTTGGCGAGATAGCTATCGCAAAAATACGATAGCTTATCTTGACTGTACAAGATAAAAGTCGGTGTTTGACGACAAACCAGAAAGTTATCATGACTTGACGAGATAGTCATCTTGATGCCACCATAGTATGGAGATTGAGGTGGAAGAAGTTATTCAGAATTAAAGGTTTTAAAACATTAAAGAGATTGCTAATCAGAATGTTCTTTCCCTTTATAAATTACGAGATTCATAATATATTTACTTCCATAAAGTGAATCTGTAAAAATATATATGTTTTTCATATTTAATATATAAAGCTGCTTATCATTTACTATCGAAAAACGACAGGTCCCCTTTTTTAGAACATCAAATTTTACTTTTCGGATAAAAACGTACTCTACACAGCTCGTGTTTTGTATTCTTAAAGTGAAATACATTTTGAATATATTTGATGCATGTGTCTGGTTTCAATTTATATTTTATTCAGACGAAATTTTCTTGAGGAATTGATAAAGTTTAAAAAGGGTATCGTTTTTGTTTGATTTTCATTCGACAAAAAGTTTTCAAAATATTCTCGACTATCGTCTCCCTCATTTAGATAATACTTTTTTAACACATATCAAAGCGGTTTTATGATCAAGACTCATATCCATTGTTTACTTTATTTATTTCCCGGGCGACAATTGATGGTTACATCAACGTTTTCTTGTTTTAAATAGCTGTGGTCATTTTACATAACGAACATAGAACACAATACAGTTATGGAATGGGTACGAGGAAAATAGCAAATTTATGGTTCCCCTTGGCAGGTTCGTCGCCTCAGGAAATATTTTTTCCTTCCGAGGAGAACCATAAATTTGCTATTTCCCGAGTTCACATTCTATAACTGTTTTATTATACTGAAACAATCATAGGCGATTTAAATTTTTTTAAGCAGATATACCGACATTTATAAAAAAAAAAAACAATGTAGAGCTTCGGGCATAATTACAAATGCATGCGGTTTGATTGGTTTTAAAACATTAAAGATATTGCTAATCAGAATGTTCTTTCCCTTTATAAATTACGAGATTCATAATATATTTACTTCCATAAAGTGAATCTGTAAAAATATATATGTTTTTCATATTTACTTTTCGGATAAAAACGTACTCTACACAGCTCGTGTTTTGTATTCTTAAAGTGAAATACATTTTGAATATATTTGATGCATGTGTCTGGTTTCAATTTATATTTTATTCAGACGACATTTGCTTGAGGAATTGATAAAGTTTAAAAAGGGTATCGTTTTTGTTTGATTTTCATTCGACAAAAAGTTTTCAAAATATTCTCGACTATCGTCTCCCTCATTTAGATAATATTTTTCAACACATATCAAAGCGGTTTTATGATCAAGACTCATATCCATTGTTTACTTTATTTATTTCCCGGGCGACAATTGATGGTTACATCAACGTTTTCTTGTTTTAAATAGCTGTGGTCATTTTACATAACGAACATAGAACACAATACAGTTATGGAATGGGTACGAGGAAAATAGCAAATTTATGGTTCCCCTCGGCAGGTTCGTCGCCTCAGGAAATAGTTTTTTCCTTCCGAGGAGAACCATAAATTTGCTATTTCCCGAGTTCACATTCTATAACTGATTTATTATACTGAAACAATCATAGGCGATTTATATTTTTTTAAGCAGATATACCCATTTATAAAAAAACAATGTAGAGCTTCGGGCATAATTACAAATGCATGCGGTTTGATAAGTAATGCATCGCGTCCTAAAACAATAATTTATTTTCTAAAAGTATTTTCACTGACATTTCGAAGGATTGATTATCGTTGTCTTTATTTGGCAAGAATTCAAGTATGATTTTGACATCTCATGTCGTAATGCTTTCGCGTCATAGTTACATTGCTAATAACATGACTTCACAGACTCGAATGGTGGCGTCTCCATCTTAGGGAAAAATTCTCGAGAGGGACATTTAACAACATACAATCAATCAGGGTTTTCTATAAAATTTGAAATTTTACTGTTTTGCAGAGTTTACGCAAAGCGCTAAAATTTTGCGATATTTTCGCGATCAAATTCGCAACTGAATTTTTATTCATTTTAATAACAAAAGAATACATGCACTCACTATATATAAATTACCGATTCGTTACACAAAGGGTATGGTCGTACATATTGATAAAAGAAAAAACAAATGTTCTGAAAAGCAGAGGAAATTTTGGTCGCAGCAGTCGAAAATTTACCAGTTTTAAAAGTAAATTTGCGGTTATTGTTTTTGTCAGTTTTCTCAATCGAATTACCGAATAACCAAAAAAAAAGTTGATAATAGTAAAATACTTTGAGAAGTTCATTGAAATTTTAAAATCATTTATTCGCATCAATTAAATGATTTCGGTATGATATTTTGTTTGAGTTACAGTGCCAACATAATTATAGAGCCGTGGCTCTATAAAAAGTCATTATTAGATATTTTTTTTTTAATAATACAATGTATTTTCAATGCAACTACCAATTAACCATAACATAACCATAGATCTTGAATTCTGTTCGTTATCTCCATTTGTTTCATGGAAGTGAGAAAACAAATTATTTGTATTTGCTTCTTTACGCGTAAAGTCCGGCGAGGGTCTAGGAGATAATTGATTATGCATTTGAAGTTCAATTTAGTGCTCTGCTTTTTTGAATTGAAAGACGGTAGAATTGTTAAATTTTCGTTTCAGTAAGAGAGAATTTATAAGTTTGGATTTTCTGATTATCACAGATCTTTTTTTTCTGTGTTGCATCCATTAATATTGAATCGTTAGATTGTTGGAGAAAATTTTATTGTGTTGGGAGCAAAACAATAACACAGCTCACGGAGAACCCTGATCAATCAATTAATTAAAATTTCCAAATATTGAATATATGAATCCCTGCAGAACCTTTAAAATCTTAAAAAAAAAAGATAACTGGAATATTTCAAGTCAACATAAGAATGGAACTAACTTTCTTTTAAAATTGATAATACACGGTATTTATATCTAATATAGAGTTTAAGGCCAAAAAATAATTTCTTATCTTCTTTTTTACACTTTTGAAAAAAATCTGTTTTAATTCAAGAGTATATATATATATATATATATATATATATATATATATATATACAGCACAAATTACAACAACTCTTAAACTAATATAACTGCCCTAAGTGAAGGAATATTAATATAGAAAGCACAGAGAAATTCACTTTTACAAGGATACTCACTTCCACCCCAGCCCGGGGTTGAACTCTCGACCTACGGAATATGTCTCCTAGCAGTACAGGAACAGCGCGTTAGACCGCTCGGCTATCTAGGCAAGTTAAAAAACTTGCTTTCGATGCCGATGGAATTCTCACAACGCTGCCCTACACTACACGGTCATTGAGAATGGAAGTGAGATACAGTTATTTGGACATTAGTTTTTAGAGGATTGTTACCAATACATGTTGTGATGAAATTAATTTTATTTATACAGCACAAATTACAACAACTCTTAAACTAATATAACTGCCCTAAGTGAAGGAATATTAATATAGAAAGCACAGAGAAATTCACTTTTACAAGGATACTCACTTCCACCCCAGCCCGGGGTTGAACTCTCGACCTACGGAATCTGTCTCCTAGCAGTACAGGAACAGCGCGTTAGACCGCTCGGCTATCTAGGCAAGTTAAAAAACTTGCTTTCGATGCCGATGGAATTCTCACAACGCTGCCCTACACTACACGGTCATTGAGAATGGAAGTGAGATACAGTTATTTGGACATTAGTTTTTAGAGGATTGTTACCAATACATGTTGTGATGAAATTAATTTTATTTATACAGCACAAATTACAACAACTCTTAAACTAATATAACTGCCCTAAGTGAAGGAATATTAATATAGAAAGCACAGAGAAATTCACTTTTACAAGGATACTCACTTCCACCCCAGCCCGGGGTTGAACTCTCGACCTACGGAATCTGTCTCCTAGCAGTACAGGAACAGCGCGTTAGACCGCGTTAGACCGTTAAATAAAATTAATTTCATCACAACATGTATTGGTAACAATCCTCTAAAAACTAATGTCCAAATAACTGTATCTCACTTCCATTCTCAATGACCGTGTAGTGTAGGGCAGCGTTGTGAGAATTCCATCGGCATCGAAAGCAAGTTTTTTAACTTGCCTAGATAGCCGAGCGGTCTAACGCGCTGTTCCTGTACTGCTAGGAGACAGATTCCGTAGGTCGAGAGTTCAACCCCGGGCTGGGGTGGAAGTGAGTATCCTTGTAAAAGTGAATTTCTCTGTGCTTTCTATATATATATATATATATATATATATATATATATACATGTACATGTATAAGTAGTATCTATATATATTTTAATTTTTATGTATTACACTTTCAATGCACTTAAAGAAAAAGTTATAACAAATACTATAAAAATGTAAAGGAGTTAACATTATATGGTCGTATCAAATAAAACACATAACAGAAGTTATGGTTTATTCGGTTCTCCCCTCAACTTTTCTTTTTGAAGCCTTAACAAATCAATTTCCTCCTGAAATTTGAGTTTTTGTACTTTCAGAACTTCTATCTCGGTCTCAGTCTTCTTTATCTCCAGCCGCAATACGTCCTGTTGTAACATGTCCAGGGTTCTCTTCTCAGACTGAGCGTATGATGGTGGAGAGCATAGGTCGTCAAGCACCTGTTCACAGCTAGATGTATTTGACGTAAGGTTTTTCTCATTATCATTTTGCAGATCTAGATTTGTCAGAAACGATACATTAATACCAGTTCCAATCTAAAATAAAATCTTTGAAAAGTTTTACTTTATACTATAATTTGTCTTGTCTCTGCAAGATGTTTGTCATAGTTTCCAGATGTACTTAGTAATTCACTCTCACTTTCGATTTTTCATTCTATATTTATAAGTTGAACCTACTTATGACAATAAGCCGTGTTATTGCATTGACCACGCCAACTTTATTCTTGGCTTCACATCTGTATAGACCTTCGTCATCCTTCCTCGACTGTTTAATGATCAAATCCCCTGTCTGCTTGTCAGCCTCAAACCTTTCTCCTCCTAGTTCATAATTACTTTCATCCTAAAATTATCAGAATAATTCACTTTGAACATTTATTTTAAACGCATTTTTTATCTAATGGATTTTTAATGTTTTATGTAATGTTTAGTTCGTTACCAAGAAATTATGCAAAATTATTTTAATGATTGATCATACCAATGGTTCAACAGCAAATTAATGTGTAAATCACAATGTGTGGAGATTTTTTACAGAAATAACTCATCTAGCGGTAAAAAAAATTCAGTCACACAAATTCACGTACATATTGTACAAAAGTTAAAAGTATCAGCTGAATTTATTCATGATCTTTCCACTCCTACAAGATTGTCACAAGTTTACTAGTATATACTTAAAGATATACATAAATATCCCCAAATACTTGATGAATATGAGTCCATGATCAATGTAGATTTTCAAAGAGTTATTGAATTTTAATGTTCATACCAACTAGGTTAAGGTACTCATGACAAACTGCTAGGATTACAGTTCTTTTTTTGTCTATTTGTCAATGAGGAATATGAACAAATAATCACCTTAAACCAATGGTACTTTGGAGAGGGCCTTCCTGTAGCTCTGCACACGAAGCGGTAGTCATTTCCTTCCACGACCTCTCCAGCACTCGGAGAAGTTATTATTTTTGGACGACCTATAAAAATTGATATATTTCTTTTTATACCGTTTACAGAAATCATACTTTATTCAGAATTTCAGTAAGCGTAGTTTTCTTAAAGCGATTGTGTCAAAATTAATTCTACTCTGAAAGGCAATTTTTAATACTTAACATAGACCATCGTAGTAAGAATCGAGTGACCTGGATCATTAATATATATAAAGACATTGATAGCCTTTATTGTGTATTTCAACCTGGACACAAGCATTCATTGATTTTTTGTAAACTCTTTGTTTCCCAAATAGGAATTAGTCGGAATAGAGTTTATTCTGGGTACAATACGATCCCCGTAACTATGAAATTACGGAGATAACGAACGGTGTCCATAAAACAATACAAAATAGGAGAAGAGCAAACACGGACCTCCAAAACATCGGAGGTGGGATCAGGTGTCATGGAGAAGTGAGCATCCCCTGCCGACCGGGCACATCCACCGTGCGCTTTTTGTCATGATCGAGAAATAACGGTAAAGTCTTCGTTAATTTAGTGTGAAAATAATAGATTAACAATTAGTATGAAATCAGCAGTCTCTGCTGATATTCTTGTTTCATTAACTTGTTTTTCAATAATTTAGCTCGTTTTAGAAATTGTACATAGGTAGATCATATGCACTTGCGTATCGAATCAACTGAGATACATAAACTCATACATATAAACTATATATACTAGTAGTCATCACGGTTATCATAGAAGTATTTTTTTCTAGATTACCATTAACGTCTCGTTAAATTATTTAAATAAAACAGATGTATCAAACTCTATGGTCTTAAATTACGGCATCCTAATGTAAATAAGGTTGTTGAAATCCCTATGAAATCAACTTATGTGTGAGTGTCCTGCCCCGATCGGTAAGTTTCAGTTATAAAGACTAAGAATTGATTTTTTTCTTTTTCTTGATATTTTTAGAAAAATGTATAGTTTCTTTCATAATAATTGTATAATGGACTTATCAATTACATTGGTGAATAGCTCATGGTAAGGACTTCTCTTACAGTACAAATTTCTTACAAAATTAATTCTCTCCAAAATTTAACAAGACTATTTAAATCATAATTACTTACTACAATTGTGTTTTTGTTTATATTATAAATATAATGGGGTAGACAAAATGGTTTTCCTAGAAATGATTTTATTTCGCATGTTATCCATGCGATCAATAAAGCTCCATTCATACACATATACATGTACCCCTCACCGGGAAGACATATATGTCGCAATTTTAGAAGAAATATACTTAATGGGCATTCATATATTGTGTTAGATAAAAACTCATGACTAGAGAAGAATTTCAAAGAAATAATGCATTTTCAGTCTATGATCAAAGCATTTGAAGTCCGACCCTGACACAAATACCCTCCACCAGGTGTAATTATGTTAACAATCTGGATGAGGCACCTTAGCTGTTCATTACTATATATGCATTCAACTTTTCTGATTAATACTACTGAATAATGAGACAGAATAAGCTTCTTAAAGAAATAATGAATCTTAACTGTATGTTCAATTGAACCCCAACCCCAACTACAAATTAAATCTAATAAGTCTGGGAAATGTACGTTACAATACGGTAGAAGGTTTAGTGACAACGGTTTGACAGCTTGAAGGTAGTCACGACTAATGAAATTTTGTACAGATTGTATTTATTTTGATAGTTTTAGCCCTAAATGCACAAATTGGTTGATATTAAGTCAGCAGTTCCACAGAAGATGCTAAAATGCTATAACGTCGAAGGAAAACAAATGACACTGGCCTTGTGCATGATTTATGAAATGAATTACATGGCATGTATTGTCCACTCCTCCATGGCACCTGATCACACCTCTGATGTTTTGGAGGTCCGTGTTTGCTCTGCTCCTGTTTTGTATTGTTTTATGGTGTTTGGATCTTGAATGCTGTTTTATGGTGTTTGGATCTTGAATGCTGTTTGTTATCTCCATATATATTTTATTTCAGTAAGGTCTGGAACAAAATTCGCGTTTATTGTATTTCTTTTGCTTTCAGCTTTGAAAACGCTAATGTTAGGCGAAAAAATTGTACAGATTGAATTTAATCTTAAGTAGGTTTAGCCCTAGTTTTCAGAAATATAGATCGAAAAAATTTACAGTTTTTGTTTCACGTCATCCATATACATTAAATTCACAGATTGGTTGATATTGAATCGGTGGGTTCCTGAAAAGTTAAAATGCTGAAAGGTGAATGAACGGCGAGTTAAACTGGTCTTGTACATGAGTGATCAAATGTCAGTCTTGTTTTTTTTTCTTTCCGATCTTCTTTTCCCCACCTATACCTACCCAGCACTGTAACTTTTATATTGATAAACTTAATACGGCCGGATCCAGATACCACGCAAACAAATGTTCCCTCATCCAAACTGTGGTTTACTCTGCTGATTTCTAGACCCTCTGGCACTTGTGCATACCTAGGATGTTCTAAGATTTTAAAATAAATTATAAAGTCTTTCTAAATAAAATTTCTGTAATTTGATTTTATTTGAATTTGCTGATGCTAAGAAATCAATTTGTCATCTTTGTGTTGTGGATACAAAACATGATTAAAACGAATTAATTGGATTTTGATTTTATGTAAATATGTAAAATGTATAACAGATTAAAATAAGATATAAAAATAAGACAAAACCGTCATACACACAATTGACAAATACTGTACCAATGAAATTTCATCAAATCAATGTCATGCATCTTTCAATTTAGAGAAAAACACCGAAAAAAAATTATGTACATCATTCCTTTTCCAAACGATTATTTGTATTTCTGAAGAAAAAAATGTCTATTTCTATATTTACCTTGAGTTATAGTTCTGCCATTCTTTGTAAAATAAATTCCATATTCCTTAGGTGCAGTGCACTTAATCAAACCTAGAGTATTCTCCTTTAGTTCCTGTGACCTAGGGGCCATATCTTCTGTAATTTCTAGAGGCATATTGACATGGACTGAAATTTTGTTGCTCTTTGGTTTTCCATTTATTGTTCCATTACAAATATACTCTCCAGAATCCTGTTCTAAAACACTTTTGATAATCACTGACAGAGATTTTCTTGCGAAACTAACAGCATATACCCTGTAAATATTTACAGAATAAAGATGTTATATTCTAAACATTCACTATTGTATATATATAAAACACTTTTTGTCAATTCAAAATCTTAAATGTTATAAAGATACACTTCATTTATTTGAATCTAAAATCAAACGTTAATTAAATAAACTGACAAAAATCCTATTTTTTTTTAAAAACTTTATTAAAAAAACTGTGCTTATGATGAGATTCTATTGATGTTTTTGAGAACAAAAATTGAGCTTTATAGTCAGTCATATAACCGAAGCCACAGGTTTATTGTTTATCGTTCCTCTCGAGAATTCTTTACCGTTCACGGTAGCTCAGTCGGTAGAGCGCTTGCTCCTTGATCGGGAGGTCGTGAGTTCGTATCTCGGCCGCGACTGACCTAGTCGTTAAAATTGGTAGCAACTGTTCCTTCGCCATGCGCTCGGCACTTTGAAGTGAAAGTTGTGGGTCCTTCGGATGAGACCTTAAAAACCGAGGCCCCGTGTCAGCGGAAGGCGTTAGCACGATAAAGATCCCTCACTGCTCAATGGCCCTGAGTACCGAGTAAAGGTCAAAATTTGAAGCCCTTCACCGGCATACGGTGACGTCTCCATATGAGTGAAAAATTCTCGAGAGGGACGTTAAACAATATACAATCAATCAATCAATCGAGAATTCTTCACTCAAAAAAAGACACCAACACCTGCCAGTGTAAGGCTGCAAATTCATAACTATGTACTGCGCACTGAGTATCAAGGTATCACACCGGTAATTGACCAATCAAAATGAACAAATGTAGGTCCATACATATAAAATTGATTTTCTTTTCTTTTGAGACGTTTTTATATTTTCTTCCAAGCCATTTTTACAACTTTGGTACCTGTGCCTAACAAATTTTATGTACTTTGTGAATAAATAAAAATTTTTGACAGGAACTTTTTTTTCAGGTCATAGGAGGCTACTTCCTGTGGTGCACTCGAGGTGTTTATAAACACAGTGAAAACACGTGGATTTGAGGGTAGCCCTATTTGCAAATGGAAAAAGTCCGAAAATGCCGTGTAGGTACCATGTTCTTTGGTGTCAGCTAATTGACAGGTAATGTTTAACAACTCCTGCTAAATATTTTTTTCGTGCAAAGAAATACCTGATTTTTAACGATTTTTTATTCTATATATTATCATATAGTGAAAACAATTACCGGTGTGATACCTTGAACGTGATTATGAACAAGAGGCCCAGGGGCCACAGCGCTCACCTGAGCACACAGGCTAGGAAAAAGCAAATATCAGATCAGAAATGAAAGTTAACTGAGTTTGGAGGGGGCTTAAATCTTAACTCCCCAGGGAGTCATGATTTGAATAACCTAGAATCTACACTACCTGAGGATGATTTCATATAAAGATCACTAAGTGTGGCTTTGAAGTACTTGAGAAGGAGATTTTAAGAGATTTCCCTATATATTCTTATGAAAAACTTTGATCGACCATTTTGGCCCCTACCTTCCCCCGGGGGTCTGGGTCATGATTTGAACAAACTTGAATCTACACTACCTGAGATGATTCCACATTAGTTTCATCTTTTCTGTCCCAATGGTTCTTAAAAGAAATTTTTTAAACTTTGATCGGCCATTTTTGCCCCACCCTTCTCCAGGGGGTCATGATTTGAACAAATTAGAATCTACACTACCTGAGGATGATTTCATATAAAGATCACATATCATGGCTTTGAAGTACTTGAGAAGAAGATTTCAAAAGATTTCCCTATATATTCTTATGAAAAACTTTGATAAACCATTATGGCCCCCACCTTCCCCGGGGGTCTGGGTCATGATTTGAACAAACTTGATGATTCCACATTAGTTTTATCTTTCCTGTCCTAATGGTTCTTGAGAAGAAGATTTTTAAAGATTTTTCCTATATATTCCTATGTAAAACTTTGATCGGCCATTTTGGCCCCACCCTACCCCCAGGGGTCATGATTTGAACAAATTTGAATCTACACTACCTGAGGATGATTCCGATTGAGTTTCATGTTTCCTGGCACAGTGGTCCTTGAGAAGAAGATTTCAAAAGATTTCCCTATATATTCCTATGCAAAAATTTGACCGGTCATTTTGGCACCACCCTACCCCCGGGGGTCATGATTAAAAAAAATTGAATCTATACTACCTGAGGATGATTTCACATGAGTTTTATCTTTCCTGTCTTAATGGTTCTTGAGAAGAAGATTTTTAAAGATTTTTCCTATATATTCCTATGCAAAACTGTCAGGCCAATTTGGCCCCATCCTACCCCCGGGGTCATGATTTGAACAAACTTGAATCTACACTACCTGAGGATGTTTCCACATGAGTTTCCATTTTTTCTGTCCCAGTGGTTTTTGAGAAGAAGATTTTTAAAGATTTTTCCTATATATTCTTATGTTAAAATTTGATCGGCGATTTTGGCCCCACCCTACCCCCGTTGGTCATGATTTGAACGAACTTGAATCTACACTACCTGAGGATGATTCCACATGCATGAGTTTCATCTTTCCTGGCCCAGTGGTTATTGAGAAGAAGATTTTTTTTAAATGCCATCACTTTTTCTCTAATTCATAATTATCTCCGCTTAGAAAAGGACGTGGCCCTTCATTTGAACAAACCTGAATCCCCTTCACCCAAGGATACTTTGTGCAAAGTTTGTTTGAAATTGGCCCAGTGGTTCCTGAGAAGAAGATGAAAATGTGAAAAGTTTACAACGACATCGGCGACAACGACGACGACGACAGGCAACGGACAAATTTTGATCAGAAAAGCTCACTTGATCTCTTTATCAAGACTTTTTTTTATTTTTAAAAGGCATATCTTAACAAAATATGTGATTTTATTAACTTTTTGTGTGAATACACACAATTTCAAAATTAGAATTAAGATTTACATTATTTTTCACAGATTTCTGTGTAAAAATTAACAATAGGTTATTTTTTACACTCAATACGGTAAAATATGACTAAAAAGGTAGCATTATGCATCTAAAATGTGAAAAGAAGTCAGAGAATATTGTTTTTTTTCATTTTGCATGACTTTACATTATTTGCACCAGATGACCGCAGTCAATTATAGTCTCACAGTCTTTGCGGTAAAGATTGTTAAAGCAGATTTTTCTAGAATAGACTAATTCTAGGTTTGCGAATGAATTTTCATCACAAGCAATAACTGCGATGAAATGTAAACAAGTGAAATATGTTCTCACAGAATGATAATTTCTACAGACACATGATTTATTTCAATTTATTGACACCTCCAGTGATACATATATTACTGCATTGGAAGAATAGAAATATTGAAATGAATCAGATATGTCAAATAAACTTAATACATAAGCTACATAAGTAAAATTCATGAAGAATTTTTCACAGGAAGGAAGGTTATGACCAAAAAACCCTTAAATACTGTCAGGTTCTGCATGTTAATACTTATTCTGAGTTCTAACCATGCATCATACATGTGGTGCAGAATGGTACTTAGCACCATGGCATGCCTATTGTGGTTTTCAGGACTTTATTCATGCTTTTGCAGCTGACATTCATGTTTTTTCAGTTTATCGGAGACTGTTTTTTGTTATTTTTTCATTAATATGTAGGTGTTGACTGTCACTTTTGAATTAAGTCTCAATCAGTGATGCTTATATGAGCATGATCTATTAAGTATATCAATGTACTGAAATATTAATAAATTGCAAATTTAACTGATAAAAAAATTTGGCATATTTACGTAATTAAAATATCAGAATAACTATAATTCAGCTAATAAAGTGCACTTTCCTTCTCAAATCACTGCCTATAAATTTTATCAGCAGTTTTTGTACACCCATCCACCTCAAAGAATCATGGAGGATGTCCTGAAACTGGTCTCTGTGATGCATTTTGTCACATATAAAAGTTTTCAAACTCATAAAAAAATTTTATATTTATGTTTTAAAATTTAAATGTTTATTTTTAATGTACATTTGGTGAAACAAAAAGATATGATCTCGCATAAGTCATGGAATAATTATGCGTATTAATTTGAAATTTCATGGCTAATTTGTGTCTTAAGAGAAAGCCTGTTACAAAAATCTCAACAATAAATTACATCTAAATTGTTGTCTCCATTTTCTTATCATCAAAGCCAGTTTAATGGAGTATGGGAGCTGCCAAGAACCTCCCTAGATGCTCAGATATCATTTTGACTGCCCTGAGTTACAACACAGCATTTAGAATACCTTCTGCACAGCAGCTTGTAGACAAATACCTAGGCATTATTTGGAACATAAATTGACTAGATACAGTTTTCGTTATCAACCCAGTTTTTAACAATTCCTGTTGTTTTTTTTTTCATTCTTTGAAGGGGAAAATGCAACTTTGTTATGTAATAGCTACACAATGGACTTAGATTTGAAAACGCTTTTTGTTTGTGATGAAGAACAAAGCATATACTCTCCACAGACGAAAAAAAAATTGGTTGCTAGGCTTATTCTTTTAATGATGAAATTCTGCTTCAAAAGATGCACAAAAACTGCTTCGAGAGTGCTCTGTGTGTTATTCTTGACTGCTCTGGAGTAAGGGAGATAAATTATACGCTTCATATCTTCAGAAATATGAGGATTTAGATCACGAGACTGAAGGATGTTGGGGACAATTATTTAATAAAATCTCAGGTGCAAAAATGGAAAAAATCGAACACCTTCAAAGGTTCTTCAAGGTATCACACCGGTAATTGACCAATCAAAATGAACCAAATGTAGGTCCATACATATAAAATTGATTTTCTTTTCTTTTGAGACGTTTTTCTATTTTCTTCCAAGCCATTTTTACAATTTTGGTACCTGTGCCTAGTAAATTCTATGTACTTTACTTTGTGAATAAATAAAGGTTTTTGACAGGAACTATATTTTTTTCAGATCATAGGAGGCTACTTCCTGTGGTGCACTCGAGGTGTTTATAAACACAGTGAAAACACGTGGATTTGAGGGTAGCCCTGTTTGCAGATGGAAAAAGTCCGAAAATGCCGTGTAGGTACCCTGTTTTTTGGTGTCAGCTAATGTGACAGGTAATGTTTAACACCTCCTGCTAAATGTTTTTTCATGTAAACAAATACCCGATTTTAACGATTTTTTATTCTATATAGAATTATATAGTGATTTCAAACACAATCGGACCATCACTCGGACTTTTCCGTCAAGTCGAGACTTGACGGAAAAGGCCGAGTGATGTTCCGATTGAGTGAAAACAATTACCGGTGTGATACTTTTGAGGGCCATTAAGCGGTGAGGGATCTTTTTCGTACACACATTTACTGCATCAGGGGACCTTGGTTTCAACGTCCCACAGTGGATTCGAACCCGCAACGTAAGAATCAGCTCCTTACTCCGCGGCTCTAGAACAAGCTCTCTTACCAATGTGTCACGCAGACGACCAGGAAAAATTAAATATTTACACATACGTACCTGTCTGCAAAGTTAGAACCTATGTGCTGTCCATTGGGCCCATACCATCGTAAATTTACATCTTCACTTCCGCCCCCTCTTGCTAAACATTGAATCCTTGCACTTTCTTTTCCAGATATTACAAGTGAGTTTCCAGCTGTTATTTCTATTAACCCTTCGTCTTGTCCCACTGAAAAAAACAAAACACAATTCATTACAAAAGAATGTTTTGTATTTTATGTCTGAAACTCTGCTCAAACAGCTATTCACCTAACAACTTTTTATAAACAAGGAAATTTTACAAATGCTAAAAGGGACTTTGGCTGAACTTGATTCGAACAAGTTTTCTGATAAAGGACGCAATGTTGCGATTCAGTTACTTACAAAAGTATTTTGCTTTTCGGATATTCATGACAAAAAAAAATGTTACAGTGATAATCTCCGAAATCCCATAAACAATTGAATGGAATAATAGAAACATCAGAGATGGGATCAGACATATTTGATACTCGGGATTTTTTTGCTAAGATTCGATTACCACAAATTCCGCATTAATAATTTTGATGGAGAGAACTGTTTTTTCCAAGATTAGTTCTCAAAATTGTTTTGTTTATCATAATTTCATGAATTTCAATGATGAGAGCATTACTCTCAATACTTAATTCATGTATAAATTGAAAATGATTTTATATCTGAAGCTATAGGCATTGGGCGCGCTTTGTTCAACCATTTTTATTTTTTAAGGTTGACGATAATGATTATGTTTTCCGTTTAAAATCAAATTTCTGTTTTACGTCCTGCCATCTTTAATGACAACAAAATATCAGCCAATGCAGCACTGTTCAGTAAATATATACTTGTCTATAGCTAGGGGATTATCTAACTATGATATAATAGTCTATGTACAAAAACCATAAATCAGTTATTATTGGAGTTGTGATTAAAAGAGGCAAATGCAGAGCGAAAAACAAGCTGCGTCTTGCATGTTAATCAATAGCTCTTTTCATCTATTAACGACTTTCAACATATCTTTATTGCAAAGATAAAGCAAGGAAATAGAAACATGGAAAAATAGGAAAATAAATTGATCGGAATTTCAAAAGAAATATGAAGTAAATAAGAGTTGCTGAAGAAATGACGCAAGACCGTTTTCACTGATTAGTATACAGTATCAGAGAATGGGGCGTTCTTTTTCTAAAAGACTTTTTTATAAATTTAATGCCATTGAGGCATAAGATAGTATTTAATGCTTAAATTTGCACTCAGTATATAACACGTTTTTGAACACTCGCTCAGATAGTGCGCTATTTTAAATACAAGCTCTATCGTTTCATGTCAATGCTGAGAAAGATAAAAAGATAAAAAGCATTCATTTTTGCACATGTAAAACTCAGTTTGTCGACTATAATACTAACAATCGAGGTGAATCTAACTTTTTGGGGGTCTTATTTATGCATTGTCTATCTGTTTCCTTGCAATATCTTTTTGTGTCACAGATGAATTAAAAAAAATACTTACAAGTGAAATGTGGAGACAGCAGTAATACACAAGTAGCAGCTAACGTCAACCAGAGAGAAACCTCCATCGCTGAATGAGAAAGAATGCATATAAAGCATAACAAATTAAAGCTTCATTATATCTTTGAGTTGGCATGCAGAGATGGATAACCCTCGTGTGAACGGTGTAACAAAACATTTGAGAAGTGATGTAAATCAGATGTGGATACTTAAAACCTTCAAGGAACTTTTAGAAAATTTGAAAACACAAAAAATCTACCAAATCAATATCATTAAAACTGAGGACTTTTACACACTTAATAGGGTGAATTCACCATGCATCGGACACCATCGTACTTCAACAAATTCTAGTGATATCGTTACCGATCGAATATTATCAAAACATATCTTAATTGTTGACACAAATTTATGCAATTCAATCAGACAAAGCTAATAACCGATTTTTTTTTTTCGAATAAGCCAGAATTAACCATGGATCGGACAATATTCAATTCAGTTCAATTCGTTTATTGACCAATTGAGGCCCCTCATGGGGCAAAAAGAAAGGACATTGTTAAAATGTATATAATGATTATGATCTTACATATGAAATACAGTATACATATACATAAGAGGGAAAGGGTTGCTTGATTGATAGAAAAGACATACAAGTAGGGGAATACCCAAAATATTTTATATGAATTTAAGAATTTGTTTATAGGTATATATACAGTGCATCATATATAAGCATTCGAGGGCTGTTCAATAAATAATGTCCTGAACTGTATGACATACATATAGGATCTCACATGATTTGTAGTTGGATATGATTTTTATCCAACGAGTTATGTGGATTTTATCCCCGAGCCTTGGCGAGGGGATAAAAACACAAAACGAGTTAGATGAAAATCCTATTCAGCTACAAATCACGTGAGATTCTTTTTATCCCATGTTTTTTTACACCACGAACAATGTTTGACACTGTCTTTATATAATACTCCACTTCATTTTACTTCATCACTCTAACGCAAAACCCATTGTGACGTCACAACTGTATGATATGAAAACGATATCACATGAGCTATATCAACGGGATAAAGGGTTAAAATACAGTTATCATATCATATTAAACCTGACTTTCTCTCATTACTGAATCCTTAATGAATTTATATCATTTTATGTGACCACTTTTCATGACGTTGTTTCATTGTGAGAAGCTGGGAAACAAGGGCTATTCGAGACACTGCATTATAAATGAATGGTAAAGAATAAGTAAACTAATGTTAAAATTAAAGCTTCATTAAAGCTGCTGTAAAACTTGTTAAAAATCCTAAAGAAACAAAGAAATATTTACTGAAATTTGTGGTATTTACAGCAACCAATGCCTGTATTATAGACAAATGAGCAGGTGGATTTCAATGATAAAAAATTATATTATGGGCATAAAAAATGAGTACCGTCCTTGCCAAAAAAAAATTATAACAACTTATGTACTGTTTGCAAAATTTCAACAAATAATATTTGATGATGTATAATTAACTTTAAGACTCATAGCAATTTTGATGGACATCATTTCGGGAGTAGTTAACACTGTTTTTAAGAAACGTTTGACCCTAACCCTGACGATACAAAAAAAGCTTAGTACTCAAAGGTCATCCTATATTCTGAAAAATGAGTGAAAACGACAGCGTGTACGAATGTCTTAATTATTGTATAAAATATCAGTAATTGTAGTAATTCACGTTTATTTGATATTCAAACAAATAATGAAACTTAAATAATTATTGCTAAAAACCCGCAAAACAAAAGTTTCGGGTCAACTCCAATATAAGGGTATGTAGTCCCTATGCGGAAGCTTGTATTTATATAAAAGTAGTGATTCGGTTCTACTGTCGACCGGGAACAGTTGACATTTGAAATGAGTGATTAAGTATCAATGATAATTATAAATTCTCTGACATTAATGGAATTGTCAATGCATTGACACGTTGACATTGACAGAATACAATTGTCAATGCATTGACACGTTGACATTGACAAAATGAAATTGTCAATGCATTGACACGTTGACATTGACAAAATGCAATTCTCAATGCATTGACACGTTGACATTGACAAAATGCAATTCTCAATGCATTGACGTTGACAAAGGGATAATTATAAATGCATTGACACGGTTGAAATTGTCATTGCATTGACACGTTGATATTGACAAAATGGTATTGTGTGTTCCTATTTTTTTGACTGCCATTTAAATACTTCAACACAAAAATACAATAAGTAATGCATTTATTACAATAGTTTTCTTTCCATTGTGTTACAACAGCATAAAAGACATGTATAAAAAACATTGACATTACAAATTTTCATTTTCATTCGGTGCTGCATCAACACCACAGCTTTATATATACATCAGATATACAACACAGACGTATGTTACATTCCAATTACTCATTCATAAGAACCAATTTACTCATTCATAAGAACCAGTCAACTATTTCGTCGTGCTGTGGGTGGCTTGGGAGGGCACTAATGATGAGGGTCTTTTCTGACTCACTAAATTTCTTGAAATTTGTTGCATACATTTCAATTGTAGCATTGCATCTTTTCAACAATTCTACAGAAATTCTAGAGGGCGCAGTTTTTAAAAACACCTCCTTCTTTGATTTCCCCACGTGAACCAACAGTCCCAAATCCTCTCTCTCCAGTTCCTTTAATTCTTCTGTAAAATAAGATTAATTTTGTTTCATTTCCCATCCTAGCCGCGGAATATATTACAATTATTCGAGACGAATTCACTTATTGAAAACAATTCACCAAATCAGAATTTTGTGGTCAAAGTTTAGCAAAATTTTATCATCACACACTGGACAAACAATAATTAAACTTTCACAATATCAAAATTCTTATTGGGGGAGGGGGGGGGGGTTAACAAAAATTTTCATAATTATATTGTGGGGTATCGTGTTCATTCAGACTTCAATTACACAATACAGAATTTTCACATAATTGAAATGTGATTTGATTACTACTAGAAAACATGAAATGAAGCTATAAATAAATGTATTTGATTCATATTGTTTAGTATGGGAACTTACGGAGAACACTATCCCTTAGAGATCCATTGAGTTTTCTTTGTAGGATCCGTAAATTGTTATTACAGGACCCCGACTCAAGACAACAGCTCTGGTTACCCTGGTTCTAAATGATGTCACTTTCTTCAATCTTACACAGTCCACTTGGTTAATACTCTGTACAGACTGGAAAAAAAAAATTAGTTACAATAAAGGAATAGTACATTCATAAGATTGTATCCGAAATGAAATGAATAATTAATTAAATTACAATTACCTGGGCAAATATTGATTTCTGTCTCGCAAGACAGCTGTAAAGCAGTCTCGCTCTCCTCAGGCAAGCAAGTGATATGACGTCCTCGGCTTTCCAGTTCGAATCAAGGACCTTCATTAGAGTTGCTTTAAGGAACTCAGAGAGAATGTGTATGGCTGCTGCCAACCTCAATACGTGTATGGTGTCTTTACTGGTGGACATGCACAGGTTCGTTTGAGTGCAGGCAATGTCCATGTCATTTACATTTTCCTTATTTTCGTCTTCATCTGTAATTAAGGAATGTTTTTTTAAAGTTTTGTGTGAGTTATTGGTGTGTGAATCACACAGACTTGTCACGTAATCATATTTCATGAAGCGCGCATTTTACATGTTCGGAAGCAACTAAAATATACTCAATATTTGAATTGCTCTCTGACCTATATCGCTGCATTTTTTTTTACTAAAGTCGCTGCAGCCTCATTGTGACGTCATTTTAACGCACGTTTCTACTCGTGCGTATATACACAAAAATGATTTTCAAATCAATTTCACAGTTGTCTTATTATAGAAACACACAGCGAATGTAAATATTGCAAAATGAAATTCATTTTCAATCAAATTCCTATTTTCTGGGGTAAAAAAAGCCGCAAAAATATTTAGGTTCTAAGATTTCGTTAGAAAAAAGTAAAGTTATTAATCTTTAATATTATGTATTAGGGTCCACAGCAGTGTTAGTGTCTATGATAGTCTAAGGAAGATAACTCTTACATTTTTCCCGTACGTTTTACTTTGATATAAAAAATGTTAACATACCCAGATGCATCTGATATTTCTCATCTAGTAATTCTGCATAGGAATCCACCATCCTGTCATATTCACTCTGAGCATCCTCCGATAGGGTATATTCCACCCCTTCCTTGTGGCTCAAATACATGTAATAAAATGTATCTTTAACACTTTCCATTCCGGTTTCCCTCAATAATTCATAATTCTCTTTGACAATTGCAGTTGGAAATAATACTGGCCTAAAGACTACTGATAAGATTCTGTCCATAAATCCATCAGCCCCACTAAAGTTAGACAATTCTGACATTAACGGATGAGGCTGAATGTATATACACATTGACATTGAAGTCTTTTTAAATCCCCTACTTCCCGTTGACAGTTCAACATAATCTCCTTTGCCACTCCACATCTTACAAAGGTACGATTTTTCTGCCTCTCCCTTCGCCTGTTTGGCATTGACGGATGCCAAGAATCGGTGACCCTCATCAGATGTAATTATACCTGTCCCTTTCGACGCAATCTGATGTCTCTGCAAACCCGCCGATGTATATGATTCGGTTCCGATTCTAATTCCAGTTTTTTCGAAAATATGAGACAACACTGGTTCTATAACGTTTTCAAATGTAATTGATTTTCCACCACCAGGATCACAAACTGCCAAGAGATAAAGGTTCGTAGAGGTAGAAAATCCATTCCCGTGCCCCTTTATACGAGTGTTTGGTCCGGAAAGCGATGCAGTTAGGCCAAGCAGTGCTGGGATTGTGAGACTCAAATTACAATTCTTTCCTTTTTCAAATATCGAAAGCCATTGATAAATTTCATCTTCAAAAATCGAACTCCAATCAATAGGAATAGAAAATGCGGCTCGATAAGTTTCAAAAACGTCACTCTCCGAAAATTTTGAAAAAGACATCTTAAACCTATGAATGCATCCAAAAAATTGATTTCATATTTACAAAACTCAACAATTGATGACAAAATTAATTCCATAGAAACACAACAATAGCAACAATACAGTTGGGGTATTTTTATTTCATGCATTCCTTTTGACGCTAAAAATTTTTTTAAACTTGATTATAACGTCTAATTATGACGTCATTATGTCGAATTATATTCTTGTGAAAAAAAAAAATTCATCATGGTTACAACACATAAACTCCGATGCACAAAAGTTTGATATTCAAGACCGATAGCTTCAGTTACAATTGAAATGGAGACTGGCAGGGCACCAGGGATGAGAATTTTTATTACGGAATGCATAAATTCTACGGAATCTTGTATTTCATTCATGAGAGATCATGGACTTCTCAAAACTGAAATGATTTGCACATGTGGATGTCAGATGAAAATCACTAAGAAGAATGATATCAGTGATGCACAAATATGGAGTTGCAATTCTTGTCTTAAGCGGATGTCTATAAGAAAAGACAGCTTCTTTGAGATAAATTACAAAAAAAAAGTATTTGATGTTTCTAAACAAGAGATGCTGGAAGGCATATGGTACTTTCATTTATGATGAAATGCAAACAAGTTTGTGAATAATATTGCATAATATGAGAAACATAAATAACATATAATATTGCAATTTTTACATATCTGTTGGGTAGACTTTACTTTACCGGTCCCCAGATCCGCAAGATCCTCGCGCTCATTGGACTATGACGTAGGGTTAAATTTGCACTCTATTCGACTGATTAGGGTTAGTCTTGCACCCACCTGAGAGGTTAGGGTTAGTACTTGCACTAGTATTCGACTGATTAGGGTTAGTCTCGCATCCATCCGAGAGATTAGGGTTAGTCCTCGCACATTATTCGATTAGGGTTAGTTTAGCATCTGCCCGTGAGATTTTATCTGAACGTCTTAGTCCTTGCATACCATCGATGAATTAGGGTTAGTAACTCGTTCTTTTACATAAATTAAGAAAATCAGTTGTTTCTGTAATTTTTCCGACATCATATAATTCAACTTTAAAGACATTTCGTTTGTTTACATGAAAGAATGGCTAAGTTCGAAAGAAATGACACAATATTTATCAATTTCTTTCAGAGATCTAGGTTAAAAACTACATTTAAAAACGAAGTTTTAAACTAAACTTTTAACCGCAGCATTTCAATATGTCAATGTCAACGTGTCGATGCATTGACAATTATTAAATTTGTCAATGTCAACGTGTCGATGCATTGACAGTTTTTTAATATATCAATGTCAACGTGTCGATGCTTTGACAATTATTAAATTTGTCAATGTCGACGTGTCAATGAACTGAATTTTTTTTAATTTGTCAATGTCGATGTGTCAATGCAATGTCAGTTCTTTAGTTATCTTCAACTACAAAATTTGTCAATGTCGACGTGTCTATGCATTCATTTGACTTCTGTTTTTATGTGTGGCTACTTATAATGCGCATTGATTTTCTACAAGGGATTTACAGCCGGAACTATTTAATCCGTATACTCCAGTTGATGTATGAATATTTTTATATTGTTTTAGTCAAAGAACTACTTTATCCTTATATTGGAGTTGAGCCGTTTCTTCCAGTACATATAGGATTTAGAGTATTCTCTTTCATTTGTTGAGTACAATGCAGTATTTTTTTTTAAAGTTGCAGAAGACATCAATTTTCAGTAGAATTTTCTTTCAGAAAACGTACTCTGCCACCGTCGCCCACAAAGATTTTATGATATGTGATTTTGCAAGCATAATACATGTATATCCAAAAATTGAAGCGAGGGACGGTGGCAGACACTATTTTCTAAAGCAAAATAAGCACCGAAATTAGTCAGTGAGGCTTTTCTGCATTTAACTTAAATATGTACCAAATAAGTGACGTCTTATTTCCAGAATGGTCCTGCTTCATGCAATATTCTTCAATGATTCCTCATATTCATCTTCTCAACGGTTGTTAAAGCCAATTTCATTTCTTTTTAAGAACATGAAATTTTTAGGGCACAATAAAGCCCAAACCGTACCTTCTTTGCTCAGAGCAATTTATTATTTTTTATTTATTCGGTACAATGCCTCACTTTCTATATCCTGTGCAATGCAGTATTTTTTTTAAAAGAATGTTCGGTACAATGCGGTATTTTGTTTAATTTGTTCTTTACAATGCTATTAAAAAATCTGTTTTGTACGATGCATTTTTAATTCGATTAGTACAATGTAGCTGTTTCAGTACAATACTGTAACAGTAATTTTCTTTCATTCTGTCAGTACAATGCAGAATTTTTTTTTCTTCAGTTCAATACCGTATTTTTTTTTTCTTTCTTTTCTGAATCCGAATGCGGTATTTTGCAAATACAGTAAATTTACTATAATTATACTAATTCGGATGCTTGAAATTGTTCTCAAACTTCAATATAAAAGGATTATTCTCCGATATATGGCAGCCACTACCATCCACTCAATGTTCTTCAAATTACCTCATTTCTAAAGTATAGAGAATTCAGAGTACAAATGTCTTAGGCTCGGAAAAGAACCAATCTTTTTCTTTTATTTCATTTTAATGTAAATTTTAAAACTTTTGAAAAATGAGTTGCTTTAAACCCTTTCCTCACACAGAGTTATGATGTTTTACTCCTTTTTTACAATGTAACTTGTTTTTTTGTCTGTTTAGAGGATTCTACCGGATGAAATAGAAGATACGTCAAATACCTCTATGAATTCACATTAGCTCTCTTATATGAAATTCAGAAACATCATATAAAAGGAAGAAAATCTGGGTTTTCATTCACGGAACACAACAATGAATTAAATCATACTTCTATTACCGAATTTCTTTTTGTCTCTATTGGCCTATTAAATTGTAATAAAAAAAAACTTTAAAAGGTGTTTTAAAAAATTGTGATACTTTCTATTTTCATAAGTTAACAATAAGTTAACATGGAAATAATAGTTATAGAATCACATCAAATGGGATTTTTTTAATATAAATTCATTGGATTTCACAGCAATGTAAATTAATCATAAAAACAAAGAATATATCAATATTCTGAGATCTATATGTACATTTTTTTTAACTTTTAAGTTTGTTTAAATGTTATTTTTTGCTATAAATTTCATAACAATAAGGTTTAGATGTTGAGGATGATAGAGAATTAAGATGAATTGAAGGTACTTTGTAAAACTCCTATAGCATGGGGATAAGAGAAGCAACTCTCAGTATGCAACACTAAGTATACAAATTATTGATGAAAATGCTTATTACCTGCAAATGACATGGAGCGGGTATGGACAATACAATTTAATTTTAAGATACATGTAGATAATATCACTTAAATGGACTAAGACAGAGGAGGAATTCTCAAGGGTATGAGGGGAACGACTAAAAACTCACCTTTGTCTGAGGTGAATCATGCTACTATGAATTTATTGCTTCATTTTCATCAAACTCTGTTCAATATATTTTGCATTTATATGTAACCTAAAACTGTTCATGTATTGTTCATAGCAAAGTTAATGTTTTGTCACACCAACAAAATTTGCCAGATCTTAAACTTTTGATTTGTTTCATCTGCGGATGTGACCAGTCGACAAGAGATTTTTTCCTTCATGGCACTGGATTTCATCTCTAGTGCTTTTGTGCCCCCCGTAATAAAAGATTCGAGGGTATATAGTTTTTGTCGTGTCTGTCCGTCTGTCTGTCTAGCTGTCTGTCCGCCTAGCTGTCTGTTTGTCAGTCGTTTTGTCCGCAAAAAACTTTACCTTGCTCGTAACTTTGGATTTAGTAGAGCTATGATTTTCATTTTTCACAAGTGTATTCCTCGTAACAAAACCTTTCTTTGTAACATAGAACAATCAAATTTGACCTTTACCTTCGAGTTTGACAAACTTTTACACAAAGATTCCAACTTTTACTCTTGCCATAATTTTTGAACGGTAAGGACTAGGGCTTTCATACTTTACATATGTATTCTTTGTGACAAGACGTTTCATTGACCTCAATATCTTTGACTTCTTGACCTTGACCTTGGGGATTTATGTACTTTAAAAAACTTTAACCTTTGCCATAACTTTTGAACGGTTAGGGCAAAGGCTTTCGTTCTTCAATTATATAACAATTATGGATGCCTTTTGATTAATGTGGCTAGAACCTTTTACCTACTTTTTAAAAAATTAACCTTTACCATAATTTTTGAACAAATTTGACTACTTTTGACCTTCACTTATATAATCTTTTGACCTACCTTTCAATAATTATCTTTGACCATAACTTTTGAACTGGAGATGCTACAGCTTTCAAATTTCACAATTGTATTTCTTGTGAGAAGACCTTACTCTTGGTACTAACATATTAAATTTGCATTTAAGAGAAATTTAATTTTGTTGCCATACGGGGGCATCAGTGTTTCACAAACACAAATTGTTTAAAGGTCTATGTTTGCTCTACTCTCGATTAGTTTTGATTCAATAGGTTTTTGAGCTTTATTTCTGTTCATAATTGCTTATTTCATCTGAGACAAATGCATTACGGGATCTTACTCATATATTGTACTTTTTAGTCGTCCTCTTTATATATTTCTATATTTTTTAAAACTTACTTCAGATTTTAGTTTCCAAAAAAAAAAAGATTTGAAAAGAAAAGAAAAGAAACAAAGTCTTAATTTGTATTTTTGTTAATTGTGTTTTTACATATATACAAAAAGCCTTTATTTTTCTGTACATAAAACAATCACAATTTAATTTAGATTACATAAAGCCAAAAAAATACAATCATTTGCATGAAGGAATGTTGCTTTATTCATCATATTGGATATTTCTTTTGCATAAATTAAAAACCACTATAAAAACGATATGGAAACAAAATGAAAATCCTGCAATGTTGCATTTTCAGACCATCAGTAAAAATGCCAGTTCCTAATGCCTAGACATATCCTGTTTCCTCGAAGACTTCCAGGTATCAAAAGTCACATGAAAGAGTAAAGATCGATCACTAATTGTTGTAAAACAATCTCTTCATACATAATACAGAGACGTATCAGAACGATAAAAGTTACAAATAATACTGACATGTAATAACAGAAACAGTCTCTAAAAAGTCATAATCCTCTGAAATATCATATTGGACAAAATCGAAAAACAATAAATGAAAGGTACCAAAATAACAGATATCATAATTGATTCACACACCTAAAAAGTTAAGTGTAACGGTTTTCCAATACCAATACTCCTAAGTAATGAATCTTTTGATTTTTTTATTGGGGGGGGAGGGGGTTCAAAATATAAACGCTTCAAGCGATACAAAAAAACCTTTCCTCTCTCAGATGTTGTTTATGAGCATCTTTTCGGAATTGATTTTAAAAGGTCCAATATATCGCTTTAAACCCCTTTCTTACATTAGAAATATCTGTGTGAAACCAAACTGTCATGAAGTTCTTGCTGCTTCTCACAATGTAGCTCGGTTTTTTGTCTGTGTAGAGAATTCTATTGGATGACTTAGAAGGTCCATCAAATATCTCCACGAAGTCATATGATCTTTCTAATACCAGGTCCAAGAACCTGTGAAAACAGAAAGGAAAGTTATAATGGTTTTTATTTGTGTGCGATTATTTCCGTTTCAGCGATTTGAACAATTTTTTAAATTTTTAACCATTTTCCATAATTTTCACCTATTTCTTATCACACCTTATAATTTTTTTCTTTTACGTCGTCAACTTTTGGGCTTTTTTGTGAAAATGACACAAAAAGGAAGAATTTAATCCGTTGAATCTATTTGAGGTGTGCATAAATACGGAATTCATTTAAAAAACAAATCACAACAACAGCATGATTAATTTTATACTTAATTATTTTAACATCTTTCAAAAAAAAAACAATTTGGGATTAATTGGTATGGAAAGGTACAGATGAAACATACGGAGATTATGAACAGTATTCAAGATCAAAAGTCAATTATACAATACAAAATAGAAGCAGAGCAAACATGGACCTCCGAAACATCAGAAGTTGGATCAGGTGCCATGGAGAAGTTAGCATCTCCTGCCGAAGGTCACACCCGCCGTGTGTTCCTTGACATGATCGGGAAATAACGGAAAAATCCGTCGTCAATTCAGTGTATAAATAATGGACTAATAATTAGTATGAAAAACGTCATTCAGCATTTGACTCAATGATAAATTGTATCTGCTTACAAGATCGTTGTATCGACCATAACTTACGAAATGATGACTTTAAACGGGTCTGCTGAAATTCTCTTTCCTTATTTTTTGAGATAGAAATTAATTAGCGTTTTAAATGCGCTAAAATAAAAAGAAAATACAGTGGATTTTTAAATGCGTTAAGTTTAAAAAAAAAAGGAAAAAAGGGCATGAAATGGCATTAAAAGGAAATCTTTGAAAATGTACTAAAATAACTTTATCTGATCGGATTTCATTATTTTTATGGAAAAAATTGAAATAGGAAGAGAGTATTCGTAAGTTATTGAAGTACTTGTGATAAAAACTAAAGACTACTTAGCTAATGCTTTTCGTTATGTCATGAAAATATTTCAAAAAAAAATTAATTTTCAAAATACTTTCCAAAATTCCAAAAAAAGTAAGCGTCTTCCTAATTAATGCAAAAGGATCTGGAGCAAATGCTTATTTTTATGTATCTTCTCTTGGGGATTATCATTTGATTTAATATGAGAAAAGTTTGTGCAGTTAAGAAAAATTATTTTACCTGAGGTAAATCATTTTGTTGTGACTTGTTGAAATGTTCCATGTAACATTATCCTTGTTATAGTACTCATCTGGATAATTGGGTGACAGGATCGTTCCACAACTTGACAAACAGGAACTGTTGCATACTATAAGATAAACAAACAATTTTGAATTCTATCTAAGGATGGAAACAATTGTTCTTTGATTTATATGATGACATATCCCAGTGAAAGTGAAATAAAACATGTTCACACGGAAAGCTGAATTTGCAGTAAATTAATGCGAAGTAAACTAATGCGAATTAAAATTTTATTTCTACAATAAGGCTATTCAGTAAGGCTATTATGGCGTCATTTGTAAATCACGTCTTCTTATTGCAGAACAGATCCATTTGACATAAAGTCAAAGGGTTTGTATACACATTTGAGGAATTAACACAATTTCGGACCATAGGTTTTCACTTATAAATGGCATAGGTACCTATAGCTGACCACTGTCATGTGGCATTTGACTTAATTTTGCCATTACGCATGCGTCAAAATTTTATTCGAATTGGCTTTGCATGGCGTTCAAAAAATTAGCAATGTTTAATAAGATTCATGCGCATTAACATTTAAAACAATGCATTTATAAAAGATAATAAAGCATTTCACTTATGCACGTGTGACCGCGGTATATCAATTAATTTAATTCGCACCCTCTTACATTTCATCAATCAAAATAAAGAATAAACTTGGTATTTCCGTTTCTACGAATAAAATTTTTTTGAGAATGTAGATATTAAACAGTTTTAAAATTGCGATCTTTTGCAGAAAACATGCGTATTTGACTACATTCGAAAAGATAATATCTTTGCGAGCACATCTCTCGATCTAACAAAAAATAAAACATGTTTTTGATCTTCAGAAATCAAAAATGAGTTTATTTGCATATTTTGGATATTTTCTCTATATGAAATAAAAAAATGCTTCAAATTTAGGTTATTTTAGGTCAATTTATGAAAAACGCATTTATGACTGTAATAATGCATTCATTAGATGGGAAATGACATTGAAATACATTGGTCAGCAGACTCCAAATGATAAATACTACATTTGCAAAAAACTGATCGGTTTTGATTTTGTCATGGAAATTAAACCTTCATGTAAGGTCAAACCCGCTGTAGTGCTCTTTTTATATCTTTTTATTATACAATTTATTTTACAAGTAGAAAATGGGATGGGATGGTTTTTTTGTATATTGTCGAGTGCGGAACACAAAATTTTATCCAATCACAAAGCAATGAATTTTCTTTGTCCTTATCACCTTTTGGATAAGCGTTTAAGATGAACTCCTGAAATTAATAGCTAGTTAGACGGTATATACACAAAGCGGTTTATTAAAAAGCGAAAACTGTTCAAACCCAGGTTTAATCGTAGGACATTGGTAGCTATTAAATTCATTTCTTATAATATAATTTTTACCATTACATGTATGTGTAGAAAAAAAAAACAATTTCACCTTAAATATGAAGAAAAAAAAATTAAATGTAACGACAAGCGGATTGATACGTATATGACATTAGTCATTGTGACCTAGACAACACAGGTCATAAAATACATTTATAAGTATGTCAGTGTCAGAATAATTAATTTATAGCAAATAGGAAGTATTTTCATTAATACTCTTCCTGAAAGGAGAAAGTAATAAGTTATCATAATGATTTTGTTTTAAAACATCATTTTATTCAACTATGCATAATTTACAGAACGTCATTGTTAGCAATGTAATAATAAATTACCATGACAGCTTTTATTTTCCTGTTTCCAAATCCCATCTGAGGAACATGTCAAAAAAGAATAGTTGACGGTATTGTTTTCATTATCATCTACTTCCTGCATGGCTATTTTTGAACCAACAATTGTAGAATTCATCCCAGCTGTTGTACCATTTATTCCAATAGACTCACAGTCTACAAATAAAGTGAGCAACAGCGTATGATAATGATGTATAAAAGTGGGCTGGATTTTTTTTAATTTCAGCATTTTTTTTTTATTTTAGCAATGTCGTTACTAAGAGGTAACATTCCTTCTGTTTAATATTTTTATTTTCATTTAATTGTATAAAAGTGTAAGAGAAACAAAAATGAATATAAGTAGACAATCAAACAAATAAGTGATATTTTTTTCCTATGGGGCTTGTAATACGAGCTTTGATTGGTTACAAAGTCGGGTGTAAATTTCCATACTCCCGACTTGAGCCGGGGAGGGGGGGGGGTAAAAAAGTTAAAGTCACAATGCATAGTTTCTCTATGATAAAACAGTATACAATCAATCAATCAATCTATGATAAAAAACAAATAACATGACGTCACGATGCATTGTAGGACGTAAAAACAGCTTTTCAAAACACAGTTGATAAGCCTTATGGTAGGAAATCATTTTATTCAATATTCAAAAATTATAAATTTGTCATAGTTAACAATGTAATATCAGTATGAAGTACAAAATTACCATGACAGTTTTATATTCCAAGTTTCCAAATTATCTTTTTCTTTGACATTACACGAATAAAAAAAGAATTGTTGAATCATGTTGTTTTCATTTCAAAAGTTTAATGATTGTTCTTGTTGAAAAAACATTGTAAAAATATATCAGGTCTATAGCAGATTTACCAAATTTACATAAATAATTTAACTTAACAGGATATTGAGCTACAGCGTATTTTCTCTGATTTATAAATTTTTAGGATATATTTTTTTTTATTTCAGCATTTTTTTTTTATTTTCAGCAATAATAAAATAGTCTTATAAATGTACACATTCCTTCTGTTTTAATATTTTTATTTTTGGGCATTTAATTGTATAAAAATGTATAGAGAAACAAAAATAATATAAGTTCTAGTTTGTTTAAAAATCATATTTATTTGATATATTTTGATATTGTTTAGTCCTATGGGGCTATTAATTCAACTTACATTTGAAAATTTCTACAAAGTCTTCAATTGTGTAAAAATTATAACTAAATTCATTATTCTATTATAATTTTGAGAGGCAGAAAAAAGATATTTCAAGTCACCAATGCCATATAGTTTCTCTAGTTTTAAAACAGTATACAATTCTAATTTAAATTTTACAATTGTATGATAAAAAAAAATAACATGACTTACACCTCAATATATAAGACATATAAGCAAATATACTTTGAATGCTTCAACTAGTCAGAAACCAGAGAAGAATCCTACCTTATGTTAAAAAAAAATTATTTGGATACATAGGAAATAAATTTATTATCCAGGTCCAGTCAAGGGTGTACAGGGATTTACCCCGAGTAATATTCCATACATCCACCCTTCGGTCTCAGGGTGCATGGAATACATCCCGGGGTAAATCCTATTGATTGAACTTGATTAACTAATATTTTTACAGAAAACTAAATTTGTTGTCTTACTTGTGACAATTGAAATGTCATAAGAGCGTTGCATGTTGTGAGAAAAAATACACTTCCTTCCTTTCCCAGTGCATTTCGACGTGTTATTCTGTAATTAATCAGGGTAATGACATTTCAGTAAATAGCATATATATGGCAAATATGTTTCAGCAAAAACAACCATTCTGTATACAATTGTGCTTTTTTACTGGAAAAGATCAAAGAACACATGCATATGTACAAAATCTGAATTCGATAAGATAATGGAAACATTGCAATGTCATATAAGTTTGCAATCATGAGGAGAGTTTAAATGTCTAGTATCAAAGCAAATTGTTTCAACTTCATGAGAAGATTTGCTGTAAATGGACCCGATCATAGTAATGTACTGTAAATGAACTTCTGATAATGTCATGCGTTGTCAAAAATCTCTATAAAAGGAAATCGCTGT